CTCCACCTGCAGGTAACTTGACCATGATGTGGAATTTCTTTCAACTCTTGCTGCAGACCAAAAATGTATTAATCATTGTTGGCTTTTCACCTGCTGATAAATCTGTATCCTAAGATCTCAATTTGGCAAGGTACAAAGCACATGCTTTGTACATGCATCCTTGCTTACGTATTAGTACAGTAGTCACCCTATACTATATCTGTTTAACGTGTCCATAACTTTATTTGTAATTATGCTATTAATCAGTCTAAACATTCTGCCTAAGTTATCTTGCGCTGCAAGGAATTTATGATATAACATTGATTTATGTTTGTAATATTTTTTTTATTTCTCACGTGACCTGTTTTTTGCTGTCATTTGTATTTGCTTCATGTCTGATTTTGTCATTTTGGTGACCCCCAGGTCACTTTAAAATTTTGAATTTCCTGTGTGTCGTTCTCACCTGGTTAAAATATAAACTTGAACCCTCAAAACATTGTGATTAATTGAACATTATAATGGGGTTCTTTTTCACATTTTCAGGCTATGTAATCTGCCAATATTTATAAATAATTAACTTATATTTTAATGCATGTCATTTCTTTGTTTAATAATTGCACAGGTTCTCATCCTATGCTGGCGTTCTGCTTGCCAACACTCACTGGGATACGAATGCAGCAAGGCGTACAGCTGTCTCCGTCTGCGTGTTCTCCCTTGGCACTCATCAAGGCGCCGTTGTCACCTCAGTCAAATTATGAGGAGATGCCCAAGCCGCTGTCACCAGCGCTGCAGGCACACCAAGGCCAGCCCTTTACCGTTATCATGCACTCGGTAAGCCTGCTTAGACAATTCTGTAAATCCTTAATTTCTTATTTGATGGTTCCTCGTGTATATTTGAAGGTTTTAATTAAGAAATGCAAGTAAGAAACAGCAGTACGTTCACTGCTCTGTGAAACCAGTGACCCGAGTTTAGTTCCCGGCCATGACTAATAACAGTGTCAAGTGATTGGATGGTCGAGTTCTAGGCCCCCAACTCCACCTACACAATCCCCAAACTGACCAATGTGAAATATGGTGAAACAACCCCAATAACTGACACTGCTTGGAGAGTGGCTTCATCTAGCAGGCTGTATATTTTGCTCCAACTACAATCCAATCTGTTTAAATACGTATGAATTGTCGAATGGATTAAATATGTATCATATTTTGATTAATCAGCAGTGTCTAAGCCCATGTTCTTGTCAGGGTCACCTTCACTTTCTTGGGTTTTTGATTCCTCTGAAAACTGTTTTGTTTTTGTACAGCCCCAGGCCGGCACGCCAAAGAACACCCACATCCCGAATATGTTGGTGGATCACCTGTTCCGGACCCCTGGGGAGCTGCGTCTGGGCCTCGCACCTGCGGTCCCAGTGCGAGCGGGACCGGGTGGCTCCCTGTCCTCCCGTGGGGAGCCCTCGCTCATCCCTCAGCGACGTCTTAACCTCGATGACAGTTGATGGACGATAGCGAGTCTCAAGGCAGCTTTTTACATTGGTGCTAAGGTTATGTACGTGTACGAAAGACGAATGGCGTATAATACGAGAATCTTAATTGTATGCCATTTATTGTTGGAGATAAAATTGGTGTGGGGTAGTGTTGCGATTTTTGGTGGTAACTTTGATTGTGTCATGGACTAATATAGATATATACAATACAAAATAGTTATGCTTTGAGTGTATTACATTTCGTGGGTAATGGACAACTCGTGCATATGTGGGACAAGAGGTATTCTTTTTGATTAAACATTGCAATTTTTGGCAGATTTTGCATTATTCATTACAATTGAACCGCAGACTAAGGACCACTATGCATATTTAAACCAAACTAAGAATGACAGCTGCAGAAATGTTTACTCACGGCACTAATCAAGCTTTGATGTAATGTATGTAAAAAGGTCAGCATTAATGTGTTTGCTAATCAAAATAACTGTTAACCTTAGAATCTTCAACAATGCAAAAACAACACTTCCAAAAATTGTAAACTGAGTTTAGCTTGAACCGTTGAATCTTCTTATTGTTGCATATGAGTTTGCTTGTGTTGTGGTTGCTTGTTGGAGCCTTGGGATTTGGTGTCTGCTTATAAACGTTGGCTCTGCTGTAGTAATTTTTTATATTCCCTTTGGACCATTTGAAAAATCGAATTACGATGTTTATATTGTACAAAGCAATTGTAAGAATTTAACTTGGTGTAAAAAAAAATTCTTGCAGCATACACTTGCATGTTTATTAATTGTATACCTATTTTTTTTATCTTTATTCACATCGATTACATATTTAACCTTGTGAAGCTTGTTTTAAAAAAATATATAGGATACTGTACTTGATCTATGCAATGCACTAAATTGTATGCTGTACATTAGAACTCATTTAGATAGACTTGTACAGAGCCATATACTGTAATTACTTGAAAAGCAAATGCCAAACATCTTGGCTGTGATGAATCAACTTTAATGCCCTGTTTTAGTGGGAATGAATAAATGGTGATAATAGGTTACTTTTAAGTAATGTCAGTTTTATTAAGTTATTAAAACGAAATTTTAGTTAAAGTATCATTACTTTAAAAACAAATGTATTGCTTTAGAATATTAACAGCATTTCCTGTTAATATTATAAAGCAATACATTTTTCCTGTTAACAGGTTTATATGTTGCTTATGTACAGTTCAAAATGTAATTTTAATGTGAAATAATGAGTTATAATATACTTGGATAGGCCTAATGCAGTGGTGCTTTTGGATATGTAAGGATTGAAAATCCAGTACTGTATATCAAACATTAGTGTTCATCATGTGTATAACATTCAAAGCTACCCCTGCACCCCAGTGGAATTATATTTTAATAAATGTGAAGAACGTAATGGCGGTTTGGTTTCTTTTGGGTGAAAAGCTGAAACTGCAGAGTCACTGCTGGTGGAGGATGGGATTGACTTTTAATGTGTGTGTCTTCACAGTTAAAATTGTTTTTATTTACAGTTGCACATTATACATTTTCAGACTTTCACCAGTTCAGGTATGCTACAGTTTTGATTTGAAGCTTTCGTCACTGCAGGAATCCATACTCTTTGGTTCTTTCGGTAAAGTCACGTAGGTATAAAATTAATTACGACGTTTTGGGCGCAACACAAGCGTCCGTCATCAGGTGGGAAAGCATGATCTGCTGCCAAGGCAGACTTTTAAAAGGTTTGAAATAGATGTAGCCCAAGGGTTATAAAGAAGTGCCCGGGGTTAATTATGTTAATGTGAGATTAGCATGTAAAAGTAAGCTCGGAGAGCGGCCTCGATAAGGGCATGGAAGTGGCTATGTTAATGTGAGAGATTAGCATGATGTTCATGTGTGTGCATCTCCGACCAGCACCACCTAACCAGTGAGTTGGAGCACGTACACCAAGCCCTCAGGATGAACGGATACTCGGACCGTACAATCCGCAAAGCTGTCCCCAGCCATGCGGAGACAACCTTCTGAGGATCCAACCAAAACCATCACTTTACTGTACATAGCAGGGGTTACCAAAATTATTGCTAAAATCTTAAACACAAGATCCAGGTTCGTTTCAACACCGCACAAAATCCGTGATTTAATCCCATCTGTAAAGGATGTGATTCCTGACATGCAATACCCTGGTGTCTACAAACTGAGTTGTGGTTGCGGCAGCAGTTACATTGGTGAAACGAAACATGTCTCGGACCGCGTTCATGAACACAAGGCAGATCTGAAACACGGTAGGACCAATACCTCTGCAGTTGCCGATCATTGTTTTCACGCTGTGGGCTCACGAAATAGATTTTTCCAAAACGAAGGTACTCTGCAAACCTACCGGCTACCTTCATAGTATTTGTTCATGAAGCCATCCAGATATATAGACAACTTCAACCGAGAGGATGGGTACAAACTGAGCAATAATTGGAAGGACGTTATTAACCAGGTAAAGTCTTAACTGACTGATGTTTCCATCCTACCTGCCTATGTCAGCTGTTATTTCTGACTCTCTGTGTCTCTCTCTATGCCTCTCTTAGATCTCTCATGCCTACATTTCCTTTGCATTGCAGTCTCATGCCTTTGGATTGCACTCTTATACTCACATGTCCTTTGGATTGCACCCGTTGGGTTGCACTCCCTCGTCTCGGAGGCCACTCTCCTATCTTACAGTTACATGCTAATCTCTCACATTAACATCATGCTAATCTCTCACATTAACATGCTAATCTCACATTAGCATAGCCACTTCCGTGCCCTCGTTGAGGAGGCCGCTCTCCTGTCTTACAGTTACATGCTAATTTTTCACATTAACATCACTAGCCCCGGCCACTTCTTTATGACCCTTGGGCTACACCACTTTCAAACCTTTTAAAACAGTCTGCCTCAGCAGCAGATCATGCTTTCCCACCTGATGACGGACGCTTGTGTTGCGCCCGAAACGTCGTGATTTATTTTTATTTTATACCTACGTGACTTTATCGAAAGAACCAAAGAGTATGCTACAGTTTGGCTGGCATATACGAATCTTGAACATACTTTCAACGTTATACCAAGATCCCTCGCCTGGTATGAAGGAGGTCGTGGGTTTGACCTTGACCCTGACACTTGCTGCATATTTGGTTTTTGCATGTTCTCCCCGTGGTAGTGTTGATTTTTCTCTGCTCCTCCGGTTTTTCCCCTCCACATTGAGAAACACGCTTAAGAGTATTTGGCTGCTATACATTTCCACATGATAAGCCACTTCGTTGAGCCATAATCTGTGGCCAGATCACTTTCAAAAAGAGCTATATCGCTTAGTGGGCCTTACCTGATTAGTTTGTCAGTTTCGGTCAGATTGCAAGCCATTAATAAACGGGAACAACCCATTCACCCCTCGTGCATATACCAACAGCATCAAGCGGCAGGCACCTGGTCCTGCTTATGCGTTAGAGGCAGGGCTTCCTGATGGCACGTCAGCTGCGATATATTAGCCTCGCAAACGACGCTCGGGCAGATTGGGTTTTAATTTATGGCCCCTCTAGGTTGTTTTGCTCCTGCTAATTCACTGCGATCTTCGCACAACGAGGACAGAACGCGTCGCTGTCCAGCTCTTAAGTCTGCTGTGCTGCTTCGCCTACTTTAGCAGACTGCACGTGAGTACATTCATTGGTCTCGCCTTAGAATCGCTCTTGAATAACACGTTCAAAACAACTACCATTGTGGTTTAATTCGGTGTTGCATGTGTTTAATAACACCATCTAAAAAACACAATTCGTCTGTTCAAGTATAGTTTTGGCTGAAGAGTAATGCCACCGCAATCTATTATATCCTCCGATAGTATTAATGCGCTGTAAATATAACGAAGTATAGCTGAATAGTATTATATGTACGTACCAATGTATTCACGTCATGCATCCAAATTAATAATGTAGTATGAATGACGTTCACGGTCACCGCTATGTGATTCAATTTAAGCGTGAATGGTGCATTTATTATACAATTGTCATTTGTCATTTGTATCATTTTTAAGTATATTATCCGTGTGATGTTATACGTGCGTATGATGGACGTTTCGTCCCTGTGTCAATCCACTGCTGGATGACAGCCTTCCTTGTTTGACCATACTTCACCACACTTGTCAGTGCGAGCCCAGAACCAGGTCAGATATCACTCGCTTCCTCTGTGAGCTGCGGACGCGAGTCGAGCTCGAGTCTCTGGGTTTCATCGCGCAGTGCGCTAACCAATGCGCCACCGCTCAACCTCACGTACAATGCAGATAGGCATTGCAATACCGTACGTGCATATACCGTGATTTTTGTGATGTACGCACATCGTGAAATTTAAGGGAGGTTCATCCAGGATTTTGTTTTATATGTAACTCATTACTGCAATGTTATTCTTCTTGGTGTTTGCCGTGTTTGATCAAATTGTCTCGACCAAAGGTTGTACTTCATTTTTATGCCAGATATCAACTAAATCTTCGATGTTTGATTACATTTCTCCAGGTTGTGTCGTGTTAACTCCAAGTTTTTGTGCTGTATTTCAAGATTCTGCTTTTAATTCGTAGCACTCTTGATGGTTTTCTTGTAATTTCATTCTCTCTGTCAAAATGCAGGAATATTAAACCTAAATGCACTAAACATACACTTTCTATTCCCGCAAAATGTACATATTTCGCAAAGTACATTAAGCGTGATGCAACATTTTAATGATACCGCCTTCAGTAAGATATGCAAAATCTGTGCCCATTTTTATAAAATGCCTGAGGATTTTATTTAAAAAAAATAATGCATTGAGTGCATACTGGCACATCTCACTTAAGAAACAATGCGATTTCAAAAATGTGATCTAAAGCTTTCGTGACTGCAGGGATTCATATTCTTGGTTCTTTCGGTAAAGTCACGTAGAAGGGAAATAATAAAATAATATAAATATAAAACAATTAAAATTCTCACGACGTTTCGACTGCAACACAAGCAATCATCACCTGATGATGATTGCTCACCTGATGATGATTGGTTGTGTTGCAGTCGAAACGTCGTGATAATTTGTATTGTTTTATATTAATATTATTTTATTATTTGTTTTATATGTATATTCTTTTATTATTTCCCTTCTACGTGACTTTACCGAAAGAACCGATAATATAAACAATGCGATGTTTAATTTATGCAGAGTTCCTTTGTTCCTACTCATTGCTGGATGAAGGTTTCCCCACACAGTGTCGGTTAGGAGGGTTGTTTGACTATACTTCACTATGCTGGTCAGTTCAGGTTGGTGAAGTGGGTTTAAGCATTCAGGACCGGTGGAGATGCCACTCGCTACTGATACTAGCCGTAGCTAGGAGTCAAACTCAGGTTGCCGTGTTCATGGCGCGCAGTGAGCCGGGAAAAAAACACCGCTGGCCACATTGCAATGGTGTATGATGCAGAAGAGGCTCTTGGCTCAATGCACACCGTTATAAATGCTCAGCTCTCACGGGTGGAGCTGAGCTTTTGTTCACTCCTGATGATGTTGGATGCAATTTCCAGCGAAAGAGACAAAATAAAAACATCATTGCTTGCTTTTCAACATTCCGGTTTGCTGAAAAAAATCAATTGGCACGTTTGCCCACGTGATAGAACTTGATTGAATTGGCTCTGTCGGGTAGTGGAGGGTAATAGTTAGAAACAATGACGTATATACATGACCTCTCCCAAAATCTAATCTCATGTATATTTATAGAGTGATTTCACTGGAAACGCTTGACATAGCTTACACAACGGTGACAGAACAGAATGGTCTATGGCAGGGATATCCAAGGATTGAGAATGAGTGACAGCGATATAGGGTACTTGGAGATCACAAAAGGGTAGGGGAGGGATGGGAAGGAGTGGAGGAGCGAGGAGAAGGAAGAGGAATAGAATGGGAAATCGAGAAGAGTTCGATTCATAGCCATGGCTAACATCAGTGGTGCTATCTTAACCCGTCCTGGGACAACCCTTCAGCCACCTGCATGGACCAGCATGGTGAACTTTGGGCTAACAACAACCCATGACTGGCACGGTGTGGTGAGACCTTAGTTCAGCATTGTGGATTTACAAAGGGAATGTCAATTATTTTTCATCACATCCTCACACCCAAGACCCATTAGAAACATCCTGGCACTACAAGGCTCTAAACAGCTGCTGCCAATAAACACATTCCTGCGGAGGGAGCTGGTAGGAATGTTGGGTTGCTCGGTCAATGGCCAGGGTCAACGGCGGCGTGGTGTATTCCGCAAATATGCCCGACTGTGAGGGTGGGCACAAGCCGGCGTGAGTAGGTTAAACGTTGAGTTTTATAAGGGCACCACGGGGTGACCAGCCCCTCCCTCCCCACCCAGCCCCACCCCTCCCACCCCCCACCCAGCCCCACCCTCCCCACCCAGCCCTACCCTCCCCACCCAGCCCCACCCTCTCCACCCAGCCCCTCCCCACCCACCCCTCCCCACCCAGCCCCTCGCCCCCTCCCCACCCAGCCCCTCCCTGCACGACGAGCACAATAATCCCCTGTGGGCTGGTGTAACCAGGAGGTTCCTACCAGTATAATATATATTAATTATATACTAAACACTGTCCAAAACCAATGGCTGGTTTGCATTGGTTGTACATCATTCACGGAAGTCCAATTTAAAGGGGAAACAAGTGCTTGGACAATTTGAATGTAAATGCTTTTGATGGATGCTTCTACCTCGTCTGTTTTATTGATTAAGTGTTCGTATTCCCTTTGTGCAATGTTCGTATTGAACAAAACATCCAATTTATGGGTTCACTGTGTGACTATTTGACATTTTTAGTGTTTTTGTAAATATTGTAATTCATTTTTATATACCGACTTTGCACTGGTTTGCTTTTATCACCCAAGTCTCCTTTTTACACAATCAGAGATTTGGTGTCTTAATGGTCTTTGGCAAAAAATAACATCATTCCATCTACAGTATTGGATGTGCTTAAGGTGTCTTATGCACCGATGCACTACGTGTGTATATTAACGCCTTTGAGTCATGGCGAGTGGTTGAGTTCATACACTTTGTGTTAGCAGCTGCCTTCATTAATTGTCTTTGCACAATAAGGAAACTTACTCGATGAGACTGGGATGTGGGCTTCAGTTAGACCCAATATAAAATTCATTCATTTTAAATTGGTTCTAAAATCAAGATGTTTTTGTAAACTGGGTATTGCACAGTTTGTATTTATCAGCTAGCTATGTGTGTATTACATCACCAAGAAAAAACACTTGTAATTGTACAAAACTCAAAATTCTTTTAAATTCACCAATTAATAGGAGACCAGGAAAAAGTCTAAATTCTTATAACATTCCCGTTTAAAAAATATTTAGCAGATGTTACAATTGAAATGAAAGTAAAAAAAACCCTATAGATGTATCAGTTGAACATTGTATGAGATGGAAATCGTTATGCTTAAACATATTCTGCAGATGTTACAATTTAAATCAAAGTAAACACCTATAGAGTTATCTGTTGAACATAGTATGAGATGGAAATCGTTATGCTGATAAAATGTGTGTTGTTTAGGAATGGTTGCAGTAATCTCAAACATGCTCTCTTCTACATAAGTAATTTTATGACGCCGCCAAAAAATATGAAAACGATTCCCTTGGTACAGTTCGGTTATGCGTGGCTTGTGCACTCGCTTTTTTATTACTACCAGAGATCAATTTATATGTAAATGTGACAGTTATAAAGAGAGCTGTATTTCATTGTAATGGAAAAACAGATACTATATATTGTAAAGAAGACTCGGTTTTTTTTATTGCTTATCGTTTAATTTTTGCGTTGGTGTCACAATGACCTCGGGTGTGTTATGATGCTGTTGAATCATTAAAACGTTCTCCTACTGCTATTATATGAGGCAGTGGTAATTAATTGGGCAGTTTGACAACACATTTTTTATAGATCTTTGAGTTAAGAATTAATATATTGAAATGCAAACGTTATTTTTGTGGCCCAAATGCCAAATTTGTAATGCATGTAAAACTTCAAAGCACATACGGTAAACAAAATATAATACAGTAAGCATATTCATCTTTTTAAAATGTCATCAAGTTCCTTGGAAGCCATGTTAAGCATTCCTATAAGCAATGTGAGAATTCTTTGATGAATGTCGCTCATTATTATTTGATGTTATTTGGTAAAATGTGCCTCATAAACACCATCGGCGAAGTTAGTCATGACCATGACAAAGATACGCTTGAACAGAACTCTAGGTTTTCACAGTTGTGGCGTATAACTCTCCAACGTATTTTTGGGTTGCATCGCATGTTGTTCTGCATGATGTCCGACGTGAAACAAAACTATCCAGTTCCAGCATAGGACAGCATGCCGAGCACACAGTACAACCAAAAAACACATCGGAGAGCTGTATAGCGCAACTGTGATAACCTACGCAGTCGTATTCTAGGAAATATTTTCACATGGCCATGAATAACTTCTCTTATCGTTTATAAGTCGTGTTTTCAGAGGTAAAAATCAAATATTAGCAACGGTTGGCTACGTACGGTACGAAAGAAGTTCACCATACACACGTACTAATATTCTGACACTAGCTATTGCAATTATTCTCGTAGGTTCTAAGCAAGAATATGGGACCAACACTTCCAAAACATTTTCTGGAAGTTTTAAAGCCGATAAGGCTGTGCGGAGAATAACAACTATCTCTCCCTCGCCGTCTGTTGCTCACTCTGTCTGTGCTCCGTGCATCCCACAACCACCCCTTGTGTCCCCTCCACGTTCATGCCACCCTCCACCAATGTTGTGGTTTCACGCTTCAACACACCGGTGGGCTAAAGCAGTGAACTATTTTGTCTTTTGTCAACGTGACACTTTTTTGCTGATTAGCCGTGTCGGGTGGTGGAGGGTTACGACACATTTATAAATAACGCGATCTAACCCAAAAACATTGATTATGAATAATATTGGTCGCGAAAGCCTACCGTGTTAAATTTCACCATCTTGTGGATTGACTGACCCTGGACCTGAGTGGGCAGATTCCTCCTTGGTCACGATGTCGCAATGGGGAGGAGGCGCTCACTGCGGGACGTGTGGCAAGGTGGTGTTCCACGCGGAGGAGGTGCAGTGCGATGGACGCAGCTACCACCGCCCCTGCTTCCAGTGCTGTGAGTGGCAACGCCTGGGCCACCCACGGTGAAAATTAGCGGCACCACTGCTCAATATCAGCTGGAGCAGTCCGGAACTCTGGTCCGGGAATTATTTTGGCATGCCACATCCTTTTCTTCTTATTCCCTCCTCATTGTACCCTATAATCCTTTGATTCTGGTCATAGGTGTATCGGAATATAGGGTACAATAAATGTAGGTATATTTATGCATAGGCATACCTCGTATTCTAGTGGTAGTCCCTTAGGCCGATAATGCTTACTCCAAGCCAGCCTAAGCAGGGTTCTGGAAAATATCGAGTGAGAAATTAGGCCATCAGTGGCACGCCAGAAGACATTCTGACACACCCATCATATAAATGTAAACAGTTATTGATTCTTTGGTTCTTTCGGTAAAGTCACGTATAAAGAAAAAATAATAAATTAAATAATAGCATACAACGTTTCGATTGCAACACAAGCAATCATCATCAGGTATAATGAAATAGCGACAAAATCCAACCAGAAAAAATTATAGACAGACATATAAGCAGACTATTTAAGGCCACCCCACAGAGACGATCACCCCTCTCTGTACCTGTGTTGGCCGCTCTGTGTATCTTGGTGATATCTGTCTGCTTATATGTCTGTCTATAATTTTTTTTGGTTAGATTTTATGTCGCTATTTCATTATACCTGATGATGATTGCTTGTGTTGCAATCGAAACGTCGTATGCTATTATTTAATTTATTATTTTTTCTTTATACGTGACTTTACCGAAAGAACCAAATAATAATTCCTGCAGTCACGAAAGCTCCAAAGTTATCATTTATTGATTATTAAGTGCATGACTGCAGCCTCCCTTACAAGAGAGGGTCATCTTCAGCATCAATCTGCATCCGCAACTCCACATGCTGGCAGCAGTACTGCCTGGTGAATGTGGTCCTGTCCATTGATGGCGGCTTGCATTCTGCAGGGTGACTTTATAAACGTTGAGATGCCAAGGTGGTATCAGTCAGAGTGATTGATGATTCTTCTTGGTTCTTTCGGTAAAGTCACGTAGAAGGGAAATAATAAAATAATAAAAATAAAACATAATAAAATACAATTCTCACGACGTTTCGGCCACAACGCAAGTAGCCGTCCTCAGGTAAAGAACAGGTTTGTCGGAAAGACAGCGTTTAAATCATTCAGAAGAAGATGAATCCCTGCAGTCACGAAAGCTTTAAATCGAAATTTGATTGATGATTAATAAGTATAGTACAGACATGGTTACCTTAAGTAAAACATATATACATTTAAAAACATCGATTCTTACACACGTGATCCAATGTATAACTGGCGTAACAATGAATATTTAACGATACATCGTGTCATTTAACCTGTCTACCAATTAGCATGAGATTCTGCAAATGTTAACATTCTGAAAACTGGTGTGAATTGTAATCCAGTTCATTTAACCAATGGGGTTTCGGGTTGTGCCGCGTGTTTTTTTGGCACGATGCCCGACGTTTCGCTCCACGTGCTCAAACCTTCAGGAACTATTCATTTCCTGGGAGCACTACATCAGACGTCATGTCAAACAACGCACAGAGCAACCGTAATATACACCGGACTGCACAAGATATGCAGTAATTGGGACATACACACTAAATCTTTACTCATCCTAGAGGGCTCTAGTTAGCTACGAAGCTTATATTATTGGTTCTTTCGGTAAAGTCACGGAGATAGAAAATAAAACATATAATGCAATTAAAAATAAATAAATTAAAGCTAAAATACACGACGTTTCGATCGCAACACAAGCAGTCTTCATCATGATGCCACCTTCATCATGATGAAGACCCTTTTGTTGCGATCGAAACGTCGTGGGTTTTCTGCTTTTATTTTTTTTTACTGATTATTTTTATTTGTTATTTTTATTTTATTTAATTATTTTTCTTTTCTATCTACGTGACTTTACCGAAAGAACCAAGAATATGAATTCCTGCAGTCACGAAAACTTTAAAAGCTACGAAGCTCTGTTTTGCAGATGCCCAGTAGGGGCAGGTCAGCAAGTCACGTCAACAAAAATACAATAAAGGATGAAAGAGTAATATAAGAATAGGTTTTATCCTTTCTGGCAACCACTTTTTGAGGTTTGGCTCTAAAGAAATCTGTCTCTGGTGTGGACCAATGAGTTTCAAAGACAATTCATACACTACCAGAGCATGTTTTTTGTTTGCCTGTTCACCACAAGTATCTGTGGTAAATGCAAACATGATTCCATGCAAAAAGGTTTCATTTTGGTGTTTTAACATCTTAACACCTGTTTTATCGCCAGAAATCGTAAAACCTATTCTTATACTTTGATACTGGCAAGGGAGGTCCCATGATACAAGAGTCATCTCGAGAAGAATTTAAGTAACTCGCTAAAACGTGAATAATTAAATACATATCAATAAAGCATGGAAATACAAATTGCAGTAGTAAATAAATTCCTGCACATTTGTCAAGACCAAGGGTCAGCGACCTGTGGCTCCAGAACCGCATGCGGCTCTTTAAGGACCACTTCTTGACATTATTTATGAAGGACCACCATCTCGTTTTCACATTCATTGCGGCTCTTGAAATATTGAGGGTTTTTTTTTTACTGAATTCGAGAAAAATGGAAGTTCTTGTTATTTTGGTTGTCAAGACCAAATGTAAGTTTGGGCAAGGCAGCAAAACGACAACAATAGACCATGACCACACGAAACTGGAGAGCCACACATACACAGCAGACCCTGGGAAGAGGGTTCCCTGCAGCCTGATGTCAAGGGGTGGTGGGTTGGTAACTCGCATAGCATGTGAATCTCGACGTATGTGAAAAAGAGCTCATCGAATTCTTCCAGTGCAAATACATATTTTGATTCTGAATCATTGAACCTGCGTGCCCTGGCAGTGGTGTGTCACAAAGCCCTGGAGACATCAACGGTGACTGTGCACGGCGATGAGATCTACTGCCAGCCCTGCTACTCTCGCAAGTATGGCCCCAAAGGATACGGCTTTGGCCAGGGCGCTGGCGCCCTCAGCATGGATGGCGGTGGCGTCATGGCCCATAGGTACGACCGCCCCCCCTCCATCACCTCCTCACTGCCCTGCTCAGAAACATAGCCCTAGATATACTAATAAAAAAAATCCTCCTTTTAAGAAACTTGGGGCAAGTGCTGTTCGCGTTTTGAATGCTCAACACCAACGCATTTGTCTCCCCCGGTGTGGTAGTTTACACACTGCGTCAGGTACTCATTTAAGGCTGAGTCGACCTAGGGGCGGCCCAGGACCGGTTCAAATATTGGCCTCTGTTATTGGTTATGAGCGGGAATCTAAGTTGAGTTGCTGGAATTGTAGAGCAGTGCGCTAACCACTGTCCCACCGCATACCATGCCGCTAGAAATACATACTTATTGAGTGGTTATGACATTATAACTGGTCAATAAATATATAGTATCCTTTATTAAACCAGGAGATGAAAGCAGACCCATTTAGACACAAGAAACATATGTAACAATAATACATCGCATCTTTATTGTGACATTTTGCAAACTATTCAGTGAATGTGCATTTGCAATGCTTTGTGTATATTTTTAAAGGAAAATTTCATTTCACAATGGTAATAAGCTATAATGGGATGCCTGATGAAACAGTAAATGGTTACATCTCAGCTGTACATCCTTTCTAAAATTGCTTAAAATAAATGTGTGTGTAGATTGAACCTTTGTAAACATTACGACTAAAAAAATAAATCATTTCCTGCAACAATTACATTTAGTGGAATCTCTTAGTGTAATAATGTCGCTACGGTGTATGCCCTCAAATAATAATAAAATGCCCTTCACACACGAAAGCCTTCCTGAATCTTTGAGCTTGTTTTCTGAGGAATCGAATACATGTCAAACCAGCATTCATTTGAATAATAGGTGGTTGGTGTGTGTTAAAAAATCCTTGAGCTGATTTTGACTTTAATTAGTAATTTCATACCAACTTCTATATCCTTTATACCAAATTTAATTTTAAAAATGTTTGACCCCTTCATTCACTATTTTAAACAAAGTGCATGCACAGCCACTGATACACGGAGCAGTAAAGCGAACATTTTCCAATCATTTACACAAGCAACAGAATGCGATTTCGGTATGCTGCTGCTTGGCGTTCATCCAATTAACGCAAATAATCTCAAATTCTCCTGAGCTCGGCAATACAGGAGAGAGAGAGAGAGAGCGAAAGCGCAGCCTCCCTCTTGCGTGGCCTAATTGTGCGCGCTGTGGCACGGCGGCTGATGGCATCAGCAGCAGCAACAACAGGGCCAAGCGCCAGGGAGGAGCATCCGTGAATAAGCTGGCCCAGCGGTTTGGCGGGGCGGCAGACGCCTGCTCCCGATGCACAAAGCCCGTCTACGCCGCGGAGAAAATCGTGGGCGCCGGAAAGGTGGGCCCTGCCTGATAAAAATTTTCCACTTCATTATTTTTTATTTTTCCCCAGGTCCCGTAAATGTATATGGAGTGGTCTTGCCAATGATGTATGTTAATCCTGAAGCATTTGTTTAACAAGCCTGACTGCTGATGAGACCCAGAACATTGAAACCGGGTTGAGAGGTGGTTTTATCTAAACAAATTCAGCTTAATATTGGTCCGGAAAGCCAATATATTTTTGGAATGATTATTTTAGTCGCTTATATGTGGAGACATAGAACAGTACAGTCAACTCTATATTTATCCATAGCTGTATTGTTCGAATGGCAGATTAACCATACTTGCAAAAACAACAAAAAGTGTTATTTGTACGCGCACACTGGATTAATTATTTTGTGGATCCTCTCTTCCGACTGAGGGCACATATGGCCACAAACTAGTCGGCAGGTAAACGGAATACTTTAAGAAATAATTATAGCACATACCACCACATTCTATATCTTCACCCCCATCCATAGGTAACAAACACAAAATATTTGTTTCGGTATAATATTTATGTTGTGAATCTCGCTTATCTGCTCGACCCGTCTCCCCATTAACCCCGGATAATTAAAAGTTGACTATGCACTTCGATCAGCAATGATGTGTGAATGAGTGCGTGCCTATGCATCGTTTCTGCTTCCACGTGCACACACTATTCCCCCCCCCCCCCCCCATGCATTGTTTCCCCAGCCTTGGCACAAGAGCTGCTTCCGCTGTGCCAAATGTGGCAAGGGCCTGGAATCTACCACTGTCACTGACCGTAATGGAGAGCTCTATTGTAAAGGTACAATTATTGCACCAGAATTGTGATGCGCAGCATATAATTACAATACGGTGAACAGTTTCTCGGTGGATTTCCAAGGTGACTCCGATCTTAATACGAGCTTTCGCGAGCATTCACATTGAACACTAATAATCGTAGAATTGCCTTATTTTGGCTCTATGTGCATTATTGCATTTTTGTGTGTACGTGTAAATATACTGTGTATGTGCAGGGGAGGAGTAAGTGACACAGCAGTTAGTACACATATGCTTTTAACCTGTAAACATGAGTTCAAGTCCCAGCTGCAGAAGTGGCGAGTGATAACTGAACTGGTTTCCGGGCCTCCCCTTCACAAAGCATCACAAACCATTGCCACGTCTGAGATGGCATGGATAGGACTTCATCCAGCAGTTGATTGACACCTCATGTTGTCTATGTGCCTACGTCACAGTGCCTTCATAGGTGCTCGCTAACAGCACTTGCTCCTAAAGTCTGTCAAGGCTGTCAGAGGGATATTTGATGCTGGCCCTCTGCGGGAGGGTGCAGTAGTGTAGCGGCAAGCACTGCGCTGCCAACACCAGTAACGATTATCAGAACCGGTCCTGGGCCTCCCCTAGGTCAACTCAGCCTAAAATGAGTACCTGGTGCAGTGCGTAAACATCACCACTGGGGAGACAAAGGCGGCCGGGCATGGTTGCTGGCCACCCAACCCCCTCGCGTGCCATTCCCGCCTTCTTCATAGGTGCTACTCGCTAACAGCACTTGCCCCAACAGTCTGTTAAGGCTACACGGGGGATCTTTGGTACTGGTCCATTGTGGGCCCGAAGCAGACATTATTTTTGGAGGTGCCCCCTTTTTTGATTTATCAACTCAAAATTATCTGACCTAAGAGATACAGACAAGAGACACTGTATATTGTATGTATTGAGATTAGAGAAGGGAGATACAAACAAGATCGAGATTAATTAGCTTTCTGATTCTGGGGACCCTTCAGCTTTTGGGACCCTAAGCGCTTGCTGAGTTTGTTTATGCCTAGCACCACCACTGCTCATATGGCTAGCATTGATTAAATTAAATTATTTTTCAAAACAAAGATCACCCGTATAGCCTTAACAGATTGTTGGGGCAAGTGCTGTTAGCGAGCACCTATGAAGACCAGAACGCACACGAGGTGGCTGGTAAGCACCACATCCGACCACCTTTGTCTCTCTAGTGCTGATGTTTACATGATGCACCAGGTACTCATTTGAGGCTGAGCCTACCTAGGGGAGGCCCAGAACCAGTTCAGATAATCGTCACTGGTGTTGGCCGTGAGCTATAATCGAACCCGGGTCGCCGGGGTCGTAGCGCAGTGCGCTAACCACGACACCACCGCTCCCCACAAAAGACAAAGATCCCCCGTGTAGCCTTAACAGACTGTTGGGGCAAGTGCTGTTAGCGAGCACCTATGAAGGCCGGCACGGCACACGAGGGGGTGGGTGGCCAGCAACACGCCCGGCCGCCTTTGTCTTCCTACTTGCAATGGTTTTACACACCGCACAAGGTACTCATTTGAGGCTGAGTCGACCTAGGGGAGGCCCAAGACCAGTTCAGATAATGGTCACCGGTGTTGGCCGTGAGCGGGAATGGAACTCAGATCGCCGAGTTCATAGCGCAGCACGCAAAGCGTTGCACCACCGCTCCCCACCACATACACACACACTCACAGTAACGTACTCGCGTTTATCTTTCAGGCTGCTATGCAAAATACTTTGGACCCAAAGGCGTTGGGTTTGGCCAAGGCGCTGGAGCACTGGCGCACACCCAATGAGCCATAAGGTGACCACCGTGAACAGAACGTGCACATTGAGATCCGTCAGAAAAGCCGAGCAGGCATGTTTAATACAATGTATAAGATTGATGTCCCCAAAATACATATATCTATAATCAAATTGTGAAAGGAGTCTAAAGGATCCATTGAAAGTTCCGGTGTATTTTTGGCAATAACAAGATAACGTTATTTGCTGTGTGTGGAATTGGGACGTTTACAATTAAACATTTTGACATTAGCAGTAATACTGTGTACATTTTAGAATCGTCAGTCCTTTAATTGTAGAGGCAAGCCCCGCAGATTACATGGTAGAATAATTGTATTTCTTCTTACTACACGAGCATAACATTAGGGTGAGAATACTTCGTGGTCTAAAACCTGTGGTCTCTGCCAGAAACTCATATAATACGAGCACGTTGCCACGGTGTAATGGCTATCAAACTGGACTTGCAATCCAGGGGTTGGTAGTTCAATCCCCAAGCATAGCAGTTGGAACAACCGGCATGTTTCTTAAATTCACTCCACCCCCTCCCATGCCTCTGTCCACCGAGCAGTATAAACGGGTGAAACCAATTTCGATTTAAAGCTTTCGTGACTGCAGGGATTCATCTTCTTGGTTCTTTCGGTAAAGTCACGTAGAAGGAATAAAACATAATAAAATAATTCTCACGACGTTTCGGCCACAACGCAAGCAGCCGTCTTCAGGTGGAGAACAGGTCTGTCGAGAAGGCAGGTCTGTCGAGAAGACTCTGCCTTCTCGACAGACCTGTTCTCCACCTGAAGACGGCTGCTTGCGTTGTGACCGAAACGTCGTGAGAATTATTTTATTATGTTTTATTTTTATTATTTTATTATTTTCCTTCTACGTGCCTTTGCCGAAAGAACCAAGAAGGGTGAAACAAAGTTAGTCGATTGGCCGGTCAAGTAAAAAGTGTCGGTGTTCCCACCTCTTTGTAAACATGTGACCAATGTGGAAGAGTGGCCAAATACCCTCTTAGAGGGGCTCTCTAGAGCTCCCTCTAGTCCATGGATGGATGCCCTTCTGCCAGCAGTGGCATGGGCAATACATTGCAACACACACTGATAGAACAATTTTTTTATCCACATGTTCTGAAATAACGTTTGGCCATGACTGGCCAATGTACATTAGAGTACATTTTCATTGGGTTTACCGACATCAGAGACATAGGTTTTATGGTTACTCTTTGGCCCTGTTATATTACCATTATTCAGTGTAAGATAACTGACACACGTTGCCTGCGATAGGCAGCTCATTTGCGGAAGAAAAAAAAAAGAGCGTATCCCTTCTGGATCTTACAGCTCTGCTCAAAGCCCAGTTTTGCAAAAAAATCCAGGACTGCATTTCCACACTGCCACATGTCTCTTTGAAGGAAGTGTCGACAATGTGCAAACATTCACGCTCCTAACTGCTCGCATTTGCACATCACACAAAGGGTGACGGTTTCCAAACAGCCACTAATGTGTGAGACGTTGCCACTGCGTCCATATGTCCAACCTATGGACAGGAAGTTGGGGGTGAGTTGTCAGAAGAGGTCGGGAAGGCATGGGTCAGTGACATGTGTGTGCTTTTATTTTTATGCGCCGTCTTTTTTTTAAACATATATTGCTTACGTTATAACGACATTCTCTTACGTGGACATTTTTTGCTGTTTGCCATCCAACGACTCCACCAATCGCATTTCTTACCACCAACTAAACTCACATAGTACCTGTTACACCTGTCACCTGATTCATCATCGCTCAACTCCTCCAACACTCGGCTCCGTCATCACCCAATTTACCGATCACCTGGTTCCCCAATCACACAGTTCCTCCACTCACACACATTCATATCATGGCTATCTTGTTTGTATCTCTATATTCCTCAAGAACTCAGCTCCTAGCTTCATTTCTGCAGAAACGTTTTAGAACCTTATTCTTGGTTCTTTCGGTAAAGTCACGTAGAAGGGAAATAATAAAATAATATACATATAAAACAATAAAAATAATTCTCACGACGTTTCGACTGCAACACAAGCAATCACCTTCTACGTGACTTTACCGAAAGAACCAAGAATATGAATCCCTGCAGTCACGAAAGCTTTAAATCAAAATTTTAGAACCTACCACCCCCGTCTCTGTCGTCCAATGCTGTGCACCAGTTAAACAAGTTATGCTAAATTTGTGTTAAAGGTTGTACAAACTATGCTGTGCTCTCGAGACCACAATTGTTCGTTCAAACGTGTACTGTACTGTTGTTATTGTTGTTACTTAACAATAAAAATTGTGAACTCGGAGCACGCTCTGTGTGTTTTACAATATTCGAGCATCACGTGAGACGTGAATTAACTCCACACACGGCATGGACAATGACCCCTGATCATCACAATAAGAAACCAAGTCCGATTGCCCTCCCAGGCAGACTACAGACTACATACCATATGGACCAGAGATGGAATCTTATATTCCCATAATACACCGCATATAATATATATTAACCTTACACACAGTGCCTGCGAGAGGATGTATATAGCCATGTCTACAGCACACCCACTAGACTCCAGACAGCACTAAAATACAAAGCAATAATGCAGCTCGCTGCACATGAGCAGTGGCACGTATAGGCCATATACTGCAACAAATAGTCCATACAGCATATTGGCTGCATGTGCGTTGTTAAACTTTCACAGGTTAAAACATATTCTCACTTAAAACTATATCAGCCTTGACCTACCCACTGCTGGATGAAGGCTGCTGGGCACAATCCCATTTCTGGCACAAGAGTTTATCTCGTTGCGATATCTCCCCCCTTGGCTACTATTTTATCACCAGGCTTGTCCATCAGCCATAAACCCCTTTAAGCGATGTGCCTCATCAACATTCCTCTTTGAGTCTCTCCGTGTAACTACAAACGTGCATCTCTCGTGTGTTTCTCTGTTAACTTTTCAGCTTTGTTCCGTATTTTTGGTAGTTTATATTGATCAATGATAGGTAATATATATACCGATTGAAACGTTCCTCAGGCACAATGGTGTGTTGCTTTTCATGATCATATGCATTTGTTTTAAAACTGCTGTAACTCTCAACATTTCATCATTTTAATAGCAATCGGCCTTCAAAATGTATAGGTATATTCTGTTTCCAAGCAACGTCCATCAATTAATGTTATTTTGTTCATCAAACATGTACATGCCATTTGTTTTGCTCAAATTGAGATTTTACTCTTCAACATTTTCCCGTAGTTAATTTCCACTGGTTGTAATAGCGACTGTTGTCAGCAAATGGGATGGCTAATAATTTCACCATTTATCTGTAATCCTTTATTTTCAATACAACTTTCAAAAAATCATTTTTTTAATGGCACTGAATAGCTGGGATTAGAGCACATTTCTTTGAATGACTCAACTTACGATTACTTCAGAATTGTAAACTATCAACTTCACCATAAACTAAGCTGATCTGAAACCATTACCACAGCAAACACACTTTAATATACAAATTAATTAATACAAATATGATTACAATGTGGTGTCGTGGAGTTATAAAATACCAAAAAACTGTTTCTGATAAGTGCTGTCCGTTTATTTTACACCTATTGATGCAGTTTTTTTGTTAAAGACGATGTTAAACCAGCAAGATTTCATCATCTGTATGGAAAAAAGTGTACACAATTCCTGATGTCGCACAAAAGGCCCACCCTTCAATGTAAACGTTTGTATGCCTTTACATTTCGTAAATAATTCAAAACCCAATTCCGCTTGCTTGTCTCAAGTTTGAAGATTAAGGCCCCTTACAAAACTGATAGGAGACGAGAGCTCTTCTTGATGGCAAAATCAACACGCCCTTGCCACTTCTTTTTGCGTTTACACGTAAAAAAATTGCTTAAAATTAAAACCCCCCAAACAAACTAGGGGTTAAATATTGTGTAATATACATTTCCAAATCATAGTAAAAGCTCGAAACAAACATTTGTCAGTTTAAAATTAAGCACACTTTTTATACAGGCCTTGACTCAGTGCATTGATGAGTGTACAGCACCGCCTAGTGGCGCCACACGCTCATAGCAGACACGTTATGGAAGACGAGGCATGTAACCATCTGTCCACTCACGGTTTGGTGAATTAACACTACCGCAATTCGGCTCAAGAATCGAATTGTATTCAACACTGCGATGAAATTTAGCGCCTCTAGTGGTGCGTAAAATGCGGTGGACAAAATGTTTTTTTTTCCTCAACAAATCGTTACATGCCTACAAAAATAACGTTTCAAAACACTTTCAATTGCTAAAAGTAAGTCAACTTCAAATATATAATTTGTCTGTGTCCCTACCAGCACCAACAAAGGCCGTGTTTCTGCTATTTTTGTTTCAATGAAACATTTGGATGTACAGTATTTTAAGTTGCAAGATTGCAGAATTGTACAGATGTTTTAATGCTAATATTTAAAGCACGTGACATAAAACAGCTCTTACAGAACTTAACAAGGAGTTTATTTTACATCACTGTACCACGTACAACATGGATAGTGTTTTGTGTACAATCTAAGCAGTAGAAATATACATCAAACCTTTGAAATGCCTCTGTTTCTACAGAAAGTTCAAAATATCAAGCATAAGATGCATGCTTGAATTTCTACTGAAAAGCTTTAACCTTGCTTCATTATAAATGCGACTGCGTGGAGTTAAAATGTTTACATATTCCAACTCGCTCAAATCAAAGTATTTTTGCATGATTAAACACAATAATTTGATATTACCGCCAACAGAACATTAATTCTTAAATCATTGGAATCAGCTAATGACCAAGTAATGCATTAATATTACAGTATTTCACTTCAAAAGCTCAAAATGGGGTCTTATAAAAATTAAGCAAAATAAATTACAAAAAACAAAGTCTTGGCGCTTGTGTTTCCATGCAGAGTGTTTATGATCCAATATAATAAACACTTTTATCCAGACAATGCGTTTAGACCTCCAGTGTCCAGTCTGTGTTTGGAGGGCTTTCTTTTAAATGTGTTGCTATGCCATTAACATCTTGACGCACTGCACAGAGAGCTGTAGTCTTGTTCTTTGATCTTTCTTAGTGGAAAGCATATCACACCATCGTGTCACTCTCTCCAATTTTGTCCACCAGCTGCAACAAAAATACAACAGAAAAGTTTTTCCTCACAAACCCCCTTGCTTGCAAAATCTTATCAGTGGAAGTCAGAGGATGTAAAATGCCTGCCCTTTTCCACAATCAACGGTTTGCAATTATCAGACAATAGGCAATGGAAACACTTTATCAGGACTGTAATCCCTTGGCTGCACAAAGTTTCCACACATGAGACGAGTTCCCCAATGCTTCTAGGTGACATACATGTTCAAAAGCACACTATCACAGACAACACGAGTTCTATATTAGATTGAGTGTATTATAAATGCAGACATTTAACATTATTATTGCACCTAATTGCAGTAAGCATGGCAAATAAAATTACAATTCATGCAGAAACAAAAAAAAATGTATTGCACAGATTTGGACCAATACTGTTAAATGAAAAAGCATTACTGTGCATTGCCATATGATGAGTGTCCGTAGCACTGGTTTCAGCCAATACAGTACAGCACATGTGGAATTTGCTAGCACAAGTTTAAAGATCATAACGTAGATATTTTAATTCGTTCTATATTTAATCATAATTAAGCAACCGGTATATTCTTTATTTACAGAATCTTACAGAACATTTAAATAATTTTAAACATGGAATATTCTCAAATGTGGTTGTGTTGAACATTTTCAACGTACAAGAGATAACATACCTTTACAACTTCCATGCATTAACTTTAACAGAAGAAACATAACATTAAATTCAAGTTCCATCACTTCATTCGTAAAGCAATGTTGTTTAATAGTAAACGCTGGGAAATTCCTCATCGATAACAATTCAAAGCCACAATTGATTTATTTCCTATAAAAAATCAGCACAATATTAGATTGGGTTCCAACTTACCGAACTTAATCCAGGTAAATTCAATATGGACCCCAAAACTGGAATTCGCCTGATAAATCCAATCACGATTGGGAAAAATCCTCTGCAAATTAAAAAGAAAACCAACACATGCAAGTGAGAATATATCACCAGTCAGACACGACTGTGAAAATTACATTGGATAATATTAAACCAGAGAAAGAAATTACATAACGCTCACCCAGAGGGTGTACGTTGAACTTCTTTCACACCATACATAGCCAACCGCATGCCTGACAACCCCTTATCAGTGCCTACCTTATTACAGACCAATTCAGACTTTATTGTTCCCCCGTGCCCTTATAAATCTCAACGTTCATCCGACAAAGCCTGTATTGAAACTGGCCGTACGCCGTATGGAACTAACCATGATATTTCCCTGCATAAGAATACTGGTAAACCGTATGGGTTGACAGGTATGCAAGCGTGCTCATCAGAGGTGCGATGTCATTAATAAACCACAACTGATCTAAATGCTGGCCCGAGCACTGAAACTCCAGCACATTCATTCTTACCGGAATAGAAGGAAGAAGCCATATATTTCCAGCACCATTCCGATCATCGGCCACCCCACAAGCACGATCAGAATCCCACCAAAGAAGAACGCTGCAGCCCGCAACTTATGCTTCTGGAAGAAGAACCGGAAAGTCCTCTCCAGGCCAATGACAAAAGCCAGGCCGGCCAGAAACAAAATCTGCAGAACAATTACACGGAAGGAAAGACACATTTGTAATCCATGACTTAAACAAGTTTGGAAAATAACAAGCAATGGTGCTGGAACGCAGTACGTGGAATAATATGCATTGCATTACCAATTGAATATAGCATTAAGTAATTTTGTAACGCATAGCTGGACTTACATTTCCGATGGCCAGAAGTGCTTTGTCAAAGAACAGCATCATCCCGAAGAAGAGGAAAAACACCCCAAATCCAGTTAACCCCATCCCAATCTCTGCAAAAAAAGACAAAGTTTTACATTTGGTTGAGTTTTCTTGTCATAAAAAATTTAGATAAAATATACTTTCTGGTATTTCGTGTAGTCACTGCAATTCATACCATTAATACCATGCATTATTTTGCACGCCTCAAAATGTCAGGCGTGTAAAAGTAATGTGATATATGAATGGTATGAACTGCAGTGAATACACTTATATCACATTTAGGTTTCTGAAAAATTGAAACAGAAAATATCCCAATAGACATTCTCTTTAATGCTAAAATAACAGGAATATTATGACGCTTTGTGTGATGGTAAATCAGTTGCTGGGGTATCTGGAATATTCCTGAGTTGAAAGCCCAGTCAATGTAGCCGTATCCTATTCATCGCCTGTTGAGGCATTCCCATTTTGAGATAGAAATAAATACAATCCTCAGAATATTAAAGAGATGTATTAAATAATGTTTAAGCGCATAGTTAATTCTTGCGAATGAGAATATCCTGGTTCTCCTGAATGTTCACCTGTTTAATCAAGTAACCTTTACTTAATTACAGTATCTTACCACTAACTCTAATACCTTGAGGCTATCGTTAATGGACTGTTAGTGGTAATAGCAAAGCAATAATTACTTGGCAAAAGCTCCTTTGTAATGTCACGGGCTAATGAAAGAGAATGGATGTCACAGATAGTAATTAAATCGCATTACTCTAGAAGTGAATGACATTAGATTGCGTCAACCCATATGTACGGATTCACAGAGCCCACAACCTACCATCATTGTGGAATTTGACCACATGAACGCAGAAATTCCAACCGGCTCAGGGCCGTAAAATAATAATACAGTAAAACCTTGTATTGTGAGCATAATTCGCTCCGGAAACGTGCTTGTAATCCAAAGCACTCGTATATCAGTTGTGATCACGTGACGCTCGGCAGACAAAGCGTACACACGTACTACTCGTATAGCAAGACCTCGCTCGTTTATCAAATTAATATTTATTTTTAAAAATTGCTCGTCTTGCAAAACACTCGCAGACCAAGTTACTCGCAATCCAAGGGTTTACTGTAATACGGAATCTCTCAATGAAAGAACCTAATTACAGTAGACTGTTGAGGCTTAGGCGCTGCTACTCAACACTTGACACATTTCATCTCTTCCTCCATCAGCTCCACGCGCTCAAGGGCTGCGTCTATGAGCTGTCGCACACAAGGTACACCTAGCCTGGCACAAGCGCCGTAGTGACTTCACAGCCACCACTTAGCGGCGACTGGTGGTTGTGTTGTTGGTGGCGTTTCTTGTTGTTGTTGTTGTTGTTGTCATCACACACGGTCGTGGCACGCTCCGGTGAACACCCAACACAGCAAGAACATTACAACTCTAAAAGTTACAGCTCGGACGCTACCACCACCAGGCACCGCCATGACCTCCCCCCATATGACGTCCGCAACACATTTCAAAGCAACTTTTAAAGGCGTGAGACATCGCCTCTATACAGCCACCCTGCTCGTACTGGGCACGAATTGACGGCAAACTCATCCCGAGCAGAGTCTCCCGACACGACCCCCTTGACGCGCGGAGCAAACATGAGGCGCTTTGATGCATCAGTCAACCAGCGTCGAGGAGGAGACTCACTCTGCGTGTCCGTCACGGAGATCATGGTGGCGGTGGTGGGACGACGACGAGGAGGAAGGGAGGATGACTAAGAGGAGGATGACTGAGAGGAGGATGAGGATGACTAAGAGGAGGATGAGGCGTGGGGGGATCTCAGCTGTTGCTGGTGCCGCCGCCGCAACCGCGTCGGATCATTCCACGGCCACGTCGACCGCCCGGCGCCACCAGCCAGCAAGGAGCTCTCCCATTGGTCGACGTGGCGCGTGCGACCAATGGGAGGCGTCCTTACTCACAGGGAGAGATTGAAACAAATTCTCACGCACGGGGCCGTCTTCCGGAATAGGAAGATGCTTCCGTTGCAAGTGAACGGGCGGTAGACGTCTTCCGGAATAAGTAAGGAGCTTTCGCTGCAAGTGAACGGGCGGTAGATGTCTTCCGGAATAGGAAGTTGCTTCCGTTGCAAGTGAACGGGCGGTAGACGTCTTCCGGAATAGGAAGAGGGAAAAGATTGCAAGCAAAAGGGACGTTTCCTTTCTAGATTTGAAGTTTTCGTGACTGCAAAGGACGTTGTATTTATCTTCCGAAAGAGGAAGATTGCAAGTGAACGGCCGGTAGACGTATTCCAGGTTTTACGGAAGAGAAAAAGTTTGCACGTAAACGGACGTTAAATTTCGATTTAAAGCTTTCGTGACTGCAGGGGTTCGTATTCTTGGTTCTTTCGGTAAAGTCACGTAGAAGGGAAATAATAAAATAATAATAAAAATATAAAACAATAAAATTCTCACGACGTTTCGATTGCAACACAAGCAATCATCATCATCATCATCAGATGGGAAAACCACACCTTGATGATGATTGCTTGTGTTGCAATCGAAACCTCGTGATTTGTTTTATTTTATTTCTAACCACGTGACTTTACCGAAAGAACCAAAGCGTATGCTGATATATTATTATTTTAAGTTTTATTTTAATTTTTCTACCTACGTCACTTTACCGAAAGAACCAAAGAGGATGAATTCCTGCAGTTACAAAAGTTTCAAATCAAGATTAAGCGGAAGTTGGATCATCTTCCGGAATAAGAAGATTGCAAATGATAACGGACGGTAGACGTCTTCCGGACGAATTGGAAGATACAAAAAAAACGAGCGGTAGACAAAATCCTGTTCTGAACCGGTTGAGGAAATGAAAGGAATTGCTCTTCCGGAAGAGGTAGATGAGGTCCGGCAAAAATAAAAAAAACAGACGGAAGACATCTTCTGGAAACCGTGTGGCTGCCTCTGCAGTGTTGTTGACGACTCCGACGGATGGGGCCTTTAAACCACACGAGAGGGTCATTGCCAAAACGTGCAGCCACGAAAGCTTAAAATCAAGAATGTTAAAGGCTATTTTAGACATTTCTGAGTCGAAGAATTTGAATTGTTACTTCAGCATAAAGGTTATACGTTAACAAAATGCTAGCAGCAGCAATAAGGTTAACAAACTGGTGTAAACAACACAATCCAGTATAATGATATTAACACAGGGAGGATGTTATTAAAAGTTGAGATAAAATCCCATACTAACCTTAGTCTGACAAAACCATACGAACCAGAGTTGTATCCTGAGTCTGAATACTGTACGATAGTAGTTTGTGTCTTACTTCATGATACCCAGTAATAAGACGAGATCACAACAGGCAGGCTCAATCCCATATTGGCCAGTGTTTTCAGTCAATTCAGAGCCACAGTCTGATCCAATAGGGTTCTACTGTAAGCAGAAGCAAGCCAGCAACCGACTTGCCAGTGCTCAAAGTCTGATCCTCATACTACCCAGAATCTGATCCAAAATTGGCCAGTCTTACCTAAATCCAACACACCGGTGGGCTAAAGTAGTGAACTATTTGTCTTTTGTCAACGTGACACTTTTTTCCTGATTGGCCATGTCGGGTGGTGGAGGGTTATGACAAATTTATAAATAACGCGATCTATTATGAATTACCTAGATCCAGTCAGTTTGAATCCCAAGACATTAACTTTCAGAGACTAAAAGTGACGTCTTGCGAACCAGCAGATGTGTAACAATTGCCGCGCCTCCCCTCCACGCAGAATATAATTATTATAGCATGTTTTTGAATTGGGGTTCTAAAGACCATTCTTGGTTGCAGAAATCAAATGGACATTTGGCAGACTTTATATTCGTGCGATTGGACACATGTCATGACCTTGAGAATCCATATTAATTGGTGCAATTACTCACTTGAGTATAGAATTAATGAGTGATGCCAGGCCAAATGTGATGTAATACTTACCAGAATACACTATGGGAACCTCATTTGCCAGTAAAAATATGATAATTGGTTCTTTACCCTTCTATCTGGCAACAAAACTGACACCTTTTTACAAGGAGTCATGTTTGCATAGACCGCAATACCTGCAGACATAATACAAACAAAAGAACATAACTCTGATAATGTGCACTGTCCTTGAAGTTGATTGGTCCACACCCGAGACAGCTTTCCTTTGAGCCTAGTCTCATATGGGTTGGACCAGATGACGCCAGAATATGATCCTATTATCCAGATTTGTATCCATACTAAATCCATACTAACGACTGTACATGTCGAATTCCATACGAACCGGAGGCTGATTCCATGTTAGGATCACTGATTATAATCTCTGGTTCCTCTATGATGCTATCCAGAGTTGTCATCCCATTACTACAGCCCCGATTGGGTGGACGGTAATTCCCTCTGCCCCTTCGCCTCTGTGAATCCACAGCACAAAGTAGCCTTTAAGTATAATACCTGTCGATTGCCCTTTCAGAGTTTGTAAAAGCATACATAAGCACACCTCCATTGTCAGTCTGCGCAAATAAATGAAACATTTTGCCCATCTTGGCTTCGCAGACCAATATTGTCCACCAGCATTTGTTTTCGAGCGAGCAACATCTTCAACCCATCTTCTTGGTTCTTTCGGTAAAGTCACGTAGAAGGGACATAATAAAATAATACGAATAAAACATAATAAAATACAAATCTCACGACGTATATACGCTGCCAAGCTTGGTGGTGTTCATTCAGACGCTGTCTTTCCGACAGCCCTGTTCTTCACCTGAGGACGGCTGCTTGCGTTGTGGCCGAAACGTCGTGAAAATTGTATTTTATTATGTTTTATTTTTATTATTTCCCTTCTACGTGACTTTACCAAAATAACCAAGAACATGAATCCCTGCAGTCACGAAAGCTTTAAATTGAAATCTTCAACCCAGTTTAACCCATAGACTTTCGCGACCAATATCATCCATAATAGAGTTTTTTTTATGGGGGGGTTAGATCGCGTAAATATATAAATGTGTCGTTAAGGTCGAGTGGTGGTGGGTTTAACGACACATTTATATCTTTACGCGAACTAAACCACCCCCAAAAAAAGACCCGTCCCTTCAACCCAGTGTCATCACAAGTTTCGATGCTTGGGGGCCTGCCAGCGGTCATTGACAAAGAGCACTCCGCCTCGACCATCTCTTGGGGAGTCCACAGTGAGAGATTGCGGGACCCCCTTCCACCCAACGAAACGACAGCCAAGGCTGCCAAGCTCTCATCACTTCCAGCCAAGTTCCATCAAAGTTCAAAGTTCATTTATTAGGTATAGCCCTGTGAGCAATTCGGCTCTTGAATCGGGTGCAACCGCAACAAACAAAAAACAAAAACATGAACAAGAAAACATCTTAAAGTGACTATGTGCAAACAGAAAATCCAAGAAATTGCAGAAAAATCATCGTACACCAACGCTGTGTGCAAAAATCCCAGTGGGATGCAAGTCAAACAACAACAACCACAAGACAACTTAGATTAAGGCCATCAGTCTAACTCTGTACTACAACAAACATGGCCAAACCAAAAAACGTTTCGAAAATCACCAAAATAAAGTCATGAAAGAAATGAAACAGTGATCATAGGAACTGTGACGGATTTTTAACAATAAACGACAAACAACATGTACTACCAAAACCCTGCAGCCATAGCTGGCTGTATGAGTCACTCCACAACAGCAGGAGCATCAATCGGAGTATTATCATTTTTCAATGCACCTTTAAGATCAGCACACTAAATCAAAACACAGGTCATACTTTGCAGCGATCATCCGGAGCGAAACATTTTATTTTAGGCCACTGAATAGCACTGGCAGCTAGGGGTGTACAACTCCTCATCACTTCCAGCCAAGCCCCCGACACCACCACCCAGGGGCGGTTTCTTCATTAGGGCGATGGGGCGACGCACCACCAATGTCATTCAACCACAGAGTCACGCGAGCCGTCACTGTGCCTCTGGATATAGTCCAATCAGCGTCATGTCACGTTCTGTGGAGTACCGCCTCTTTTTGGGCGATTTCACTTCGGCTGAGAATCGCCCCGAGTGGCCCCATAGACTTACATTCAAAGATGTTTTTTTTCGAACGGGGGGCGCTCCAATGCATTCTCTATGGCTTCCGGGAGGGCTCGCCCTAACGTGCTTACGTCATCATACGTAAGCACGTTTCAGTCAACAATATAATTTGTCGCCACCTAGTGGAATCTTTAATAAAAGAAACGTGAGTGGATTGTATTAATAGTGAGTATAGAAATAAACAAGATGTATTGTAAGAGTCACTTTATTTTTCATTAATATTAAAGAAGTGAAGTTGCCTTTACATGCTTAAGCTGTTAATTTATCCATTGCATGGGTCGACCTTATCCTTATCAATCATCCAGACATTTGCCCCCCCTGAGAGATTTAGCAGGATATTCTTAGGTTTTTTATTTTATTTTATTTTCATTAATTTTGATGTTTCACCTACGTGACTTTACCGAAAAAACCTAAGAATATGATTCCTTGCAGTCACGAAAGCTTCAAATCTAGATTTAGCAGGAGCCGCCACTGCCACCACCACCACATCGTCATGAGCATCATCAGCAGCAGCAGGGGAGGAGGAGGAGGGGAAGGGAGGAGGAGGAGCTGGAGGCGGACTCATTCGGGCATCCCCTCCATTCGCCCCTGTACGACACATCTCTCTGCCCTCCCACTTCACCATTGACCACTTCGCTTACGTCGCTCGCGTCTGCGACGTGGAAACCTCCACCCCCGCACACCAAAGCAACCACCGTCGTCTCAAGAAGAAGAAGAAGACACCGACGGAGCGTTGTGACAGACACACGAGGAGGAGGAAGAGGAGAAAGAGGTGGTGGTGGTGGTGGGTTTGGTGGGTGGTGGTAGGAGGAGGAGGAGGACAAGGCTGACTGTTGCAAGAGCCAAGTCACGTTCGTCCGGCATAGACGAATCTCCGACGGTCCGTGCGCCACCCGTGGGGGTGGTGAGTGGTTTGTGGTGGTGTTGGTGGTGGTGGAAGAGGAGGAGGAGCAGAGAGAGGGAAGGAGGGAGGAAGGAAGGCCTCGACTCGGGGTGTTTTTCGAAGTCCCGGCCGTGGTTGCAAGGGAGCCAGGCTCGGCGCAAGCGACGAATCCGAGATGCCTGCCGTGTCCAAGGGGGACGGCATGCGAGGGCTCGCCGTCTTCATATCCGACATTAGGAATTGTGAGTCTGGCTTTGTGTTGTTGTTGCTGTTGTTGTTGCTGTTGTCGTTGTTGTTGTCGGTGTCAACGAGGAGCTTTGGATCGTCTTATCACGAGGATGTTGTTGGCTGTGACTGACTTGTGTTTCGTCCGTGGGGGGAGCCGGTAATGTAGCGGTCAGCGCGACGGTCACGGGCATCGTCACCAGATCGACAATTTATCTGAACCGGTCCTGGACCCCCCCCCCCCATTCTAGGTCGACTCAGCCTCAAATGATTAGCCGGTGCGGTGTGTCGTAAAGACATCGCCACCGGGGGAAGACAAAGGCGGTCGGGGCGGTGTGTGTCACCGTGTGTGTCACGGTGCGTGTCACCATGTGTGTCACCGTGTGTGCGGCCCTTCATAGCTGCTGCTGCTGGTGGTGCTGGTGGTAGCGGCTTCCTCGCGAGGGGCACTTGCCCCCCAGCAGCCTCGTCGGGGGCTACACGGGGCGTCTTTGTCTTTGCGCGCGGGGCGTGGTGGGGTTTGTGTGCCGAAGCCAAGCGGCCCAGTCCTTGTGTGGCGGGGGGGGCTTTTACTTTTGCTGCCACCACCAGCAAGCTAGAACCACTACAGCCACAACCACCAGCCACAACCACCAGCAACCACCAGCAACCATCACCACAACCACCACCACAACAGCCACCACCACCAGCAGCCACAACCACCACCACCAGCAGACACAACCACCACCACCAGCAGACACCACCACCAGCAGCAGCCACAACCACAACCATCAGCCACCACCACCACCAGCAGCTACAACCACCATCAGCCACAACCACCACCAGCAACCACAACCACCACCAGCAACCACAACCACCACCAGCAGCCACCACCACCAGCCACCACCACCAGCCACAACCACCACCAGCAGCAGCCACCACAACCACTACCAGCAGCCACAACCACCAGCAGCCACAACCACCAGCATCCACAACCACCACCAGCAGCCACAACCACCACCAGCAGCCACAACCACCAGCAGCCACAACCACCAGCAGCCACAACCACCACCAGCAGCCACAACCACCACCAGCAGCCACAACCACCACCAGCAGCCACAACCACCACCAGCAGCCACAACCACCACCAGCAGCCACAACCACCACCAGCCACAACCACCAGCAGCCACAACCACCAGCAGCCACAACCACCACCAGCCACAACCACCAGCAGCCACAACCACCAGCAGCCACAACCACCAGCAGCCACAACCACCACCAGCAGTCACAACCACCACCAGCCACAACCACCAGCAGCCACCACCAGCAACCACAACCACCAGCCACAACCACCACCAGCCACCACCACCAGCAGTCACCACCAGCAACCACAACCACCAGCCACAACCACCAGCCACAACCACCACCAGCAACCACCACCAGCAACCACAACCACCAGCCACAACCACCACCAGCCACAACCACCACCAGCCACAACTACCAGCAGCCACAACCACAACCAGCCGCAACCACAACCACCAGCAACCACCAGCAACCACCACCAGCCACAACCACCACCAGCCACAACCACCACCACTACCAGCCACAACCACCACCACCAGCAACCACCACCAGGAGCAGCAGCCACAACCACTACCAGCCACAACCACCAGCAACCACAACCACCAGCAACCACCACCAGCAACCACAACCACCACCAGCAGCAGCCACAACCACCACCAGCCACAACCACCACCAGCCACAACCACCACCAGCAACCACAACCACCAGCAGCCACCAAAGTGTTCGTGGGGAGAGATGTGGAGGAAAGTCGAGGTCACGTTCGTCTTCTCGTGTTCGTAAATGAATGTTTAAGAACAAAAAAAACGTCCTCAACGCGGCTTGACACGACAGCGATCACCACCCACCACCATCACCATCCACCACCACTACCATCACCACCCACCCACCACCATCACCAACCACCATCACCACCCACCACCACCCACCCACCACCATCACCACCCACCAACCACACGGACCAACTTCCTATCATGCAGTGGAGGGCCATTGGGAGGCTGTTGAAGTTGGGGGCCGTGGTTTTGACTTCACCCTTTGCCTGCTGCTTCTGCTGCACTTTGGTTGACACAGCTAAATGTAGTCGACATTTAGGCCAAGCTTGGAGTCGGGTTTCGGGTCCTAAATTAAGTGAGATTTTAGTCCTAAACGTAACACTGGCCCCGTTGAAAAAGCCAAAATGTAAGTGGTGTTGTTACCCCCCAGACTAATTGGCGAATTGTTGTCGTCTTGTAAATCAGGTTAGGTCCTAACCTAAGCCTGACCCAAACATCATTTTTAATTAAACCATCTCAAATCGATAGAACCCCTGCCATTTACACGTAGCACTGATCCATTACGGTAATCACGGCCGAATTTTTGGCTTTAGTTTCACACAGAGCCGCCTTTCCCGAGTTAATATCACAACTCCTAACCAAATTGTGGCACAACTAACGATAACCCTGCTTTTCCAGCTGCTTTATGTTGATAAAAAGGGCCCAGTCCATTCCGTTAAAAAAGCTTGAAAATGTTGATGGAGTGCGGACAATAATTTACGGCTACTTCATATTTTGTCGAATAAAATGCATTCGTTGTGTGTGCGGTGAAAAGAGAGTGTATGCTGAGATAAGCTCCATACGAAAAATTTAAACCGAATTGAAAACGGGCGTTAAAGATAAATCATTTGGTGTTAGAAAATGATAAAAAAAAAATTAAACACGCTTTTATGAAATGTACAAAAAAGTAAAAAAAAAAAATTCTGTTCAAGTACTTTGCATTATATATGTTTTTATATTTCCTGACATGTAGTTGTGACTGACTGAAAATAAAAGCGTGGGGCATAACATAAGGGACCGTGGGCAATTACAGCCAACGTTAGTTGATCGTGGACAATTAGACCCAAGCCGAAACATGGCATATAAAAAATAATGTTTAAAAGTATATATTGTTAATTTTTATGATATAATATAGTATTGTCATCAGTATGACATAAGTATATCAAATTTGCTGTCGATACCACATTGGGAAGTGGGTTAAAATTGAGTTCCAAGATTTGAGGAGCGTGTAGTAGTAATTAAAAGGCACTCAATCACTGTGTGTGTGTGAATACAGTTTGATTGGGATACACCTCGCTGTTTCTTTTCTTTATGGAAACCCGGAGACTGTAAGTGACATTGACCCATTTTATCTGCTAACGTGCCTTCTAAAGCACTTTCACTTCTAGTGAGATCTAACGAAGCTGAGATGCTTAATGAGCCAACTTACACCTTACAGGGCTCCGGTGATGTAAGGGCATGTTTAAACACATCTTGCCTCCAAGTGCAGTTTTGCGTTCAATTATCTGAAAACGTCTCGTCCGTTACGTAATGTGCAATTGTCATTTTTTTGTGGCGTACTGTATGTCTTATTAGTATTGTAGTTTGGAAATGAATGGGATTTCCTCTCTCTTTGTGGATTGTTTATTTTCAGGCAAAAGCAAAGAAGCCGAAATAAAAAGGATCAATAAGGAACTTGCAAATATAAGATCGAAGTTTAAGGGTGAGTGTTTTTACATACTCCGAAGTCAAATATGCCGTAGAAGTACGTGTCTGTCACTACCGTTGCTTAAAAAGTTGCTCAGCAACTATTCTTTTCTCAGGAAGAGATAAAAATTTGCAACGGGAAGCAGTGCGCGATTCCTGCTTTGTCCTTTTTTTGTTTACCCTTGTATTCAAGTTTCTCTGAACTAGTCTTGTTTTTGCAAGCCTGGAAAAAAAAATGTGTCGTCAATAGGGGAAACTGTCATCACGTGGCCTCTTGGTTATTTTTATTGAACGTAGGCATAGTGGTTGATAAGCATTCCCAACAGCCACCCATATGTCCACCGTTTGGAATAGCACTAAAAATAAACACCACTTGTTCCTGGCATGTTTGAGAGCCCCCCCTCTCTCTATTGATCTGCCAACAAAGTTTGTGCCGGGGGTTTCCCCCCCCCCACCCCTTTATCCTTGAGCAGGAGACAAGCCATTGGACGGTTACAGCAAGAAGAAATATGTGTGCAAACTGCTCTTCATATTTCTACTGGGACACGACATCGACTTTGGCCACATGGAGGCCGTTAACTTGCTCAGCTCGAACAAGTACACCGAAAAGCAGATTGTAAGTCAGGGATTGTTTTCTACGATGAGCTATGATTTTAGAAACTAATTTTATTCAAGTTTTATACTCATTCGTTTATATTGTAAATGGAATTTTCCTGTAACTAGCAAGTGTTCATATTGGATTTAAAATACAAGAAGGAAGTTACATTTCTGAAGAAAATGGTTACAGCCAAGGTGTCTGGCTATGCATTAACACGCGAGATATGTACACCCCTTTGCTGTTAATGACTTGCTTTAATGTATATTTCCTTGTAAAAAATATAACCTTTGTACGTTTCCGACATGTGACAGAACGTCAGCAATGCAGGAATTTACACAGCTGTACTTTTAAAACTGTTAGAAGCAGTGTTGAAAAATGAAGAGAGAAAGGCATTTGTCATTTAGAAATACATTTTGCGTGGTAGAAACCTGTTGGTTTTACTTATGATAAATTAAAGCAGATGTTTGTCCTGTCGTGTTTAACTTACTTGAACTCTGAAGACGTTAAGCCCCCCTGTTGTTGCTGTAAAGTGAGAATTTGATTTGTTGCTTGCACGATTATAGTACATTTTAGTTACAATGCCTGTATCTACATCCAGTAGTGCACACAGCAGCACTATTCAGAGGGTGCAAATTAATCTCCTGTCAAGACTACGTCCTTGTAAAAAGTTTATGAAAAACCTCAAAAATGGTCTAATTTACAATGGCCATCTAAGCAGAATTTGTGGTGGAGCGGGGGCGACTGGGTGCGCCTACGTCTTCTTGCACTCATCCTTTCCATCAACAGCTGAAAACCCGATCTACGACAGGACATTATTGTATCTAACAAAATGCGTTTTTGTAGGGCTACCTATTCATCTCGGTGCTCGTGAACTCGAACAGCGAGTTGATCAGGTTGATCAATAATGCCCTGAAGAATGATCTGATGAGCCGCAACCCCGTAAGCATCTGCCTGGCTCTGCACTGCATCGCCAACGTGGGCAGCCGAGAGATGGCCGAAGCGCTGGCTGCTGAAATCCCAAAGCTGCTCATCTCTGCGTGAGTCCTCTTTCTTCGTCAAGGTCATCATCAGCGATGATCTTTCCGCTGCTGGATGAAGACCTTCCAAAACCGTCACCATCTCTTGTCAGTCTTGCGAAGCAATAATCCATCTAGCTCCTGGCACATGAGCCGATTTAATTACACCACCTCAGCGGTGCTGCAAGAACATGAAAATAATAATGTCCTATTACCGTAACATGTTGTGACTGATGCGATTGGGTGGATATGAGGATCGAGATATAATTTAGAGTTGTGTGCAGTGTCTTAGACTGCATAAATACTTTTTAGATGAAGTTCTAATTTTGTCTGGTTTGAAACATGTACATTTAACGTTTATGGGTATCGTCCACTTTAATGACTTATCTAAAGAAAATTGCAACTTGATAAAAAATAATGTCTGATATGGCAATGTGCAGGGATACGATGCACGGTGTGAAGCAGAGTGCTGCGCTGTGCCTGCTCCGTTTGATTCGGGGCTCCCCTGAGCTCGTGCCGCAAGGTGACTGGGCATCACGTGTCATCCACCTCCTCAATGACCAGCACATGGTAAGACTCTTTGCTCATGCTAGACTCCAAAGCGTTGTTTGACTCTTGAAACAGCTTGGATCCGCATTACATCCTTTTGTTATATGTTGATCATTTGTTTAATTGAGTCGCATGCTTCAAAGATGACGAAGTAATGCATTGTATTAAGTAGGCATGTAGTGATTCACTCTTCCCAGTGATTGATTGCATTGGTCACGATTTAGGGGTTATAATTCAGTTCAAGAATAAATTATTTTTGGTCAAATTTTGATCCTGCCTCGTTTGTATTATCCCATCTTTCTGTTACTTATATCGAATTGCATGAGTCAATTGATGTATCTCGGGTGTATAAATCTAATTTAATCAATTAATTGTTCTTCAATTGGAGGCACTCACCCAAGATGTGGCCCACAAACTCTGTTAGAGTGGTACGTCCGGCTATGGCCCTGCCGAGAGATATAGCTTGCTGAGACATGTTGCAGATTAGTGAGATGAAAAAACAGGATAGAGATGAGAGGACCTGAACACAAGAAGTCGAGATTAGTGGGCGCACGTACAGACTTTACGATGTCAGGATTCTGTGTGATGTCACAACGTCTGCATGCTTCATCACGTCACGTAGCCTGCCAGAACACGCTAATTTCTCGGTCGGCTGGAAAATATCGTTGAACCTCGAATTAATCAATGCATCATTACGTGCTTGGCATTACATTTATTAGTGCACCACCGAGATGGTTTTCACAGGCCTCCACAGCAAGTGCTAGCGATGAGCAGTGGTGGCTGAGCGTGTTCACGACTTACATGGCGTTGGCCCCTTGTGCGGCCGCGTGTGTGCTGGTGGCAGGGGGTGGCTACGGCGGCGGCGAGCCTCATCACGGCGCTCGCACAGAAGAGCCCTGATGAGTACCGCGGCAGTGTCTCCCTGGCTGTGTCGCGCCTCAGCAGGGTGGGTCTGTCGACAGGTGTCCTTGTGCTTGTGTTCATGCAAACGGGGAACCGTATCGTTACAGGGGGAAGGCAACTGTAACAACGATATGGAATGGGATTTATGTTCGGATGTACATGTATAGCTTTTTGCCAGGTTCGCTGTTGGATAGGTGCCTCCCAACACTGTGTGGGCCATTTGATCATACTTGAAGCTGGTCCGTGTGGTTATGTGAAAGTGAGAGCATAGAAGTATTGTACAATAGTGGATTTTTACGTACTATCGTTTGCCAACCAAAACCATATATCCCTGCAGCCAAAACACATGATGCATGGTGGTCGCCCATCCAAACACTATCCAGGCTGAGTCTGACTGAGCTTCTGATATCTACGGGAGATCGGGGGCATTTTCACATAAGAACTAATTTATCTGATTTGTACCTTGTCTAAAACGCTATGTGACACCTAAACTGAGATTATAGTAAACATATATTAAGACTAACCTGTTCCCTGCAGTTCACGGCCAATATCGATGAAATTAATAATATAGGTTTGTGGTCTTTGCAAGAGAATGTTTCTTTTAAAACGGTGCAGCTGCTTGCCATTGAGGCACATCAAAGTTAGCTCTGTTGTTACCTTTAATGTTTCATGAAACATTGCTGTCCTATAGCTGGAGCTGGTAGCACTGTGCAGACCTATACGATTGCTTCTCGTCACCCTACCATTAATAGTGTGTTTATTTGTGCCATCAGGTTGTGACAGCTGCTTACACAGACCTACAGGATTACACGTATTACTATGTTCAAGCACCATGGCTTTCCGTCAAGTTGCTCAGGCTCTTGCAGTGTTTCCCGCTGCCTGGTAAGCAAAAATGTGTGGACTGGAAACATTTTACTAATGTGAACGATAAGTACATTTATTTTATAGGAATAAGCATTCCAGATTCCCTGTTTTTAAAGCACATTGTGTTAGAGCTTAGCGCATCTGAAAAATCATCTTGCAAAATTGAAAGTGTGTGACTGAATGTTTTATTGTAATCTCTTAGAGCTTTTCTCAAGGGCTATAGCATAAATCCTCTGATGTTGAGCGATCACGTTTTTTTCGGGTCTTTGAAGCTTGGTGACGCACAGTGAAATAACATATATACAGTTTTGTGTTTTCACATTAAATAATAATATTTTATTTATAATTCTATTTTGCTTTGCAGACCAGTATCACCCAATAACATTTCATTAAGCAGGCACTATGTTATAATATGTTGATGGGTTGCTATATGGTATTGGCAGCACTGTATGGAAACAATAGGACCATGTTGAAATCGTTTATTATAATAATCTAATACTTTGTTGCTGGCAACCAGAGGAAACGACTGTGCGAGGTCGATTGAACGAGTGTCTGGAGAGTATCCTCAACAAGGCCCAGGAGCCACCCAAGTCCAAGAAGGTGCAACATTCGAATGCCAAGAATGCCGTACTCTTCGAGGCCATCAACCTCATCATCCACCAGGATAGGTGCGTTTCAACCTTCATTGTCATCACTACCATTATTATCATCATCACCATTATTATCATCATCATCATCGGCGTCATCATTGCTATCATCATCATCATGAAAATTGCCGTCATCCATGCCGATGTTGTATACTGTGCCTGTCATGACTACAGCATGGTTTGATCATGCAGCTAACATAATTGAGTAGTTTGTGATGAAGCCAATTGAAATCCAATAGGATAGTGATGTTGCCCAAGAGTTTCCAAAATTCTTGTTTGACTAAGTGTGTTTATAAATACATTTGACATGCCAGTTCTTGTTAAGATGAGGGAGCAAAGGCTAGACAAGGCAAGGCATGTGTTTCAAAACAGTTGGACCAAAATTGCTAGAGGTCAAAACCTAACATGTACTATCTTGTGCCGACTGCCTTGCTGTTGAACTCAAATTCCTTGATACAGCTATCGTGCTGTGACTGTTCCACCTGAAGACGGAAGCTTGTGTTGCCTCCGAAACGTCGTGATTTTTATTTTATTTTTATTTTACTTTTATTAATTTAAATTTTTTACCTACGTGACTTTACCGAAAAAACCTAACAATATCAATTTCTCCTATTAATGTCACTAAACCGCAAGTCTGATTTCAAGGCGCAGAGCTAATTCGTCGATCAGCACATTTCTAAAGATAAACTTTGTGTGCACAGCGAGCCAAACTTGCTGGTGCGCGCCTGCAATCAACTGGGCCAGTTCCTGCAGCACCGTGAGACCAACCTGCGCTACCTGGCTTTGGAGGGGTTGTGCCTGCTCGCCAGCTCCGAGTTCTCGCACGAGGCTGTCAAGAAGCACCAGGAGACAGTCATCACTGCCCTCAAGGTGTGGCACATGTGCACAATTCATTGCCATATTATCGATGCTGCGTATAAAATCAATGTGCGCAGTAGTTGGCACTCTGTTCGACGAACCCGGCAAATGGACGAGTTACATTCCCCCCTTCACCAACCTCTACTGACCAAGTGTGGTGAGCTATGGCTAAACAACCCCATTATAGAGATGGTTTAGGGCAGCCTTAATTCAGAAATCAATTGACAAAAGCGCTGCAAATCTATAAAGAATAATACAATAAGCAGCTTTCAGCTATAAATGAAAGATGGAGTGCATCTTTTGGGTATTATGATTATCATGTTTGCCCGGTGTTTGTTTGGCTTTCCCAACAATGGTAGCTGCCACTTTGTAAATGTATTGTTAAATGGTCATCGTTTATGTTCATCATGCTTTTTCACACTTTTTATAATGATCTCCATGGCATAACATACATTTAAAAGTGTTTCGTATTGAGTAACATTTAAATAAAAGCTGAAAACGGCTTTATGCATGTATGTATGTTGAACTTCTTTCGCACCGTACATAGGCAACCGTGTGAGTTGGAGGTGCGGGGTGTAATTACAAATCAAGAATTTGTTTAATTAAATTTTTTTTTAATTATCTAACTCGACGAGCAATCCCAACCGAGCGAGCGACATGCAGCGCAAATTCGTTCATGCTGAATACGTTTCTGAAGGCGTGCTCCCGCATGTAACCCGTGTACCGCTAGACGGAGCGGGACGTGAGCGTGCGCCAGCGAGCCGTGGACCTGCTGTACGGCATGTGCGACCGCACCAACGCGCAGCAGGTCGTCTCGGAGATGCTGGGCTACCTGGAGACCGCCGACTACTCCATCCGTGAGGAGATGGTACGCTGCGCACCCATGTCTCTTCCTTGTACTTTGAAGGTCATGCTTCAAAGAGTTGTATCGAGCACAGTTTAGATTTCCAATTTAGTTTGTTCTCCGTTTGTTGTCTATATTGTCTATACCAGTGGTTCTCAACCTCGCTGGACCCGTGGGCCACCATGTACTAATAATCGATTTTTCTAAATTAAAACGAGTCTAAATTGGAGTGTCTGCAATAGTTGCGCAGACTTCTTCCCACGGCCTTGCAGACCACCAGTGGTCCGTCCACTAACCGCAAGTTGGGAATCACTCGTGTCTTTGGACATTATATTTAGTCTGCACTCAATGTATTCCTCGGAAAATATCTCAAATACCCTTTTGTTGTGGCGCCTCCAGATACACGCTATGGGAGGTACCCTATACATAATAATAAAATAATGATGAAAGGATGGCTGTGATGAGGGCTTAACCTCTTTTCCCTTCATTAACCTCATACAGAAACCAATATCAATAATTAAAAATGTATTTACTTAATCAAAGAAGCCATTGTGTGTGGTATCATGGCTCGTGTTTTTTTTACATTCTGAGATTTGATTTCCACCTCTGCGGTCCATCTGGACATGGCCGTGAGGTTTGAGGTTGTGCTTGCGACTAGGCCTCGGCAGGGTAAGGTTATTTACCCTTTTTACCGGGTATAAGGGTAAAGGGTAAAGATGTCGACATGCCAAGGGGTAAGGTAAAGTGTAGGGTAAAGGTAGGCTCGTTGCTTTTTACCTTTTACCTTGCCTGCTAAAGGGTAAAAGGTAGGGTAGAGTGATTGTATTGCGGTAAGGTAAAAGGTAGGGTAAAAATAGGCTCGTTGTTTTTACCTTTTAACTTTTACCTTACCTTGGTTTGCCTTGCCGGGTTGGCGAATGCAGGTACTCAAGGTGGCGATCTTGGCGGAGAAATACGCGGTGGACTACACGTGGTACGTGGACACGGTGCTCAACTTGATCCGCGTGGCGGGCGACTACGTGAGCGAGGAGGTGTGGTACCGTGTCATCCACATCGTCGTTAATAACGACGAGGTGCAGGGCTACGCTGCCAAGACCGTTTTTGAGGTGAGAAGCGTGCGTATGTTTGTGTTGACCCCGTGTGCCTCGCTTGAGCTCTCAAAAGAGCTGCTTCTTGGACAAAAATTAATCGTTTAAGCACAAATTATATAAATAACCAATTAATATCACGCATTATGTTCGAAATAAATTCATAGTTTGTCGAATCATAACGGTAATTAAGTAGTAACATGTTTATTGTTGCTTGTTTGAGGCCCTGCAAGCACCGTCGTGCCACGAGAACATGGTGAAAGTGGGCGGGTACGTGTTGGGTGAATTTGGCAACCTCATCGCGGGAGACCCTCGCTCCAGGTGATGCCAACACCTCTGCTGCTCTTTGATATACAGCATCAATTCAAACATCATTCATTCGGCCACATTGACAAGTTCTTGCTGCTGCAGTTTAATTAAGACCCTTGGATAATCATCGGTTTTACCCCGTCCTGATGCCTGCAGCCCGATAGTGCAGTTCAACCTGCTGCACTCCAAGTTCCACTTATGCAGCGCGTCCACACGTGCTCTGCTGCTGTCCACCTACGTCAAGTTCATCAACCTCTTCCCCGAGATCCGCAGCAGCGTGCAGCAGGTGCTGCGAAGCGACAACCAGCTGTGCAACGCGGACGCAGAGCTGCAGCAGCGCGCGGTCGAGTACCTCACCCTGAGCAACGTCGCCAGCACCGACGTCCTGGTGAGAGCCCCTCCGGGCGTGCCGGTGGTGCAACTGCACGGGGTGGGGTGGGGGGGGCACTTGCCGGTGCAGCCCAGTCACCGGGCTACGATTGAAGGGGTGGGGAGGGATTGAAATTGGATCGGAGGCCCCTTTTTATTTGTCCCACCAGGGCCTATGCCAACCTGAGACCCCACTCCCCACACCATGTATAGTCTGGCTTAAGAATATGGATCCTTTTAACCGCGAGTACGTTGTACCGTATGCTGTATGTTCATCGTTATTGAGACATAGTGTCGTGCGACTTTCTACAAGAGGATGGTGTAACTCAGAAAAGACAGATGAAGCTATTTTGGGTTCATATCTAGGCTGTGTGTGTGAGGCTGTCCGTAATGAGTTTGAAACTTCGAAAAAAAGACTTTCAAATCACAGTCAAATGCACTCTAATTGCAATGGCATCCACTGACAGATGCTTTAATATTGACACTGCAGTGATATCATTTGATCAACTTTGGCTGTTGCTTAAACATTGCTTTCTCATTAACAAAGTTTAAAACTTATATCGGACAGTCTATGACACGAAAAGCATAGGTGTCTTCACGATGATTAATGTTAGCTTATTGCAATTGCACCTTGCTGTAATGATCCACATGTTAAATGAATATGCAGTAGCTCCATTTCCAGCTGCTCTGGTGTGCAAAGATGATCCACTTTGTTTAGCTATCATTTGTGGCCAAGTCGCTTCTGAAAAATAATCTTAATAGCTCAGTGGGCTTTACCTAGTAATATGAAAAAAATAGTTGAGTTGTATTTGTATATTGTTTTAAGTGATTTTTTTACACTTTTCTATATGTTGCACTTGATCGTGTTTTCCGAACGGCCAGTTTTAGTGAGTTTGCAAAGTACGTCCGAGTGCCTGTGTACGTGTCAATAATTATTTTTGCACAAACATAAAAGAATGTGCCACGCAAAACCAGTGGGTTTGTTTCTACTCAATTCTATATTTTGCACATACTTCACACACAACACCAACCAGTATCACCCACCTCACACTTGGTTCTTTCGCTCTGGATCGAACCAGTTGGGCATGCACTGTTATCCAGTTTTTAGGTTTAGGATGGTATCCAGATAAGACAGCCAACAGGGAAGTTTTGTTTTACTTGAACAAGAGGAGACCATGATATCAATTAATTAGCAATACAAATCATACGTGTAAATGTAACAAATGACCGCATGGCATTGATGCACAAGCACAAATAAAAAAAATAACCTCACCAAGTTTGATGCACACTGCTTAAAGCAAAATAAATAGGTCACCTTGTATTCTTGGTTCTTTCGATAAAGTCACGTAGAAGGGAAATAATAGAATAAAATTAATATTATTCTTTTTATTGTTTTATATTTATATTATTTTATTTTTTCCCTTCTACATGACTTTACCGAATGAACCAAGAATATGAATCTCTGCAGTCACGAAAGCTTTAAATCAAAAGGTCACCTTGTGTTTATCTAATGAAGAAGACAGGCATTTGTCAAAAATATTAACCGGTGTATTTTTCTGCCATTAGACAGTTTTAAGGATTTGTGCGGTGCATTTTTTGTCCTTCGTTTTTATTTCTTGTTATTTTGGTGATACTATCGTCATTATATCCCATTGTCAATCCACCTGCTGTATGAAGGCCTCCTCATACGATGCGAGTCAGCCTACCCTGATCGCTTCGCTTGTCGTCAGTGCAGGCTGGTGATGTGGTTGGGGGGGGGTAGGCAGGACTGGATCAGATATCACCCGCCATCTGCCCTAGCCATGGCTAGGAATCGAACATAGATCACCAAGTTTACGTGTTGTTTTACTTCTTTTGCACTGTACGTAGCCAACCGTGCTAATCGGAGGTGCAGGGGAAGGACAACAAAAGCAGTTCTAAAGAAATAAGTTATAATGCAACTATGCCACAGCGTCACCCCAGTTGAAAAGCAGCATTCCCGCAGGCTGGGGAGCACAGTAAACTAAAAATGTTGTGTTGCTCCGCTCCTGGTGACACAGGCGACTGTTCTGGAAGAGATGCCACCTTTCCCCGAGCGCGAGTCCTCCATCTTGACGAAGCTGCGCAAGAAAAGGGGCACGTCCATCACCGAGCCCGATGATGCCAAGAAACCCTCGGGGTCGGAGGTCAACGGAGGCTCTGAAGGCACGGCACCACCCAGCTCTCTGAAACCGGTACGACCGACCTACCGCTTGGCACCGGCGCTGCCCAAATCTCGGCTAGAACCTTTCCATTCGCCTTCACCGTTGTTCAGTACAAAAGTGTGTGTTTTTTTTGGGACTCTGAGTAATGCTTGTTGCGTGACCGACTGATATTTTAATTTGCACACATGATAAGATAGATTGTAAGAGTTGCGCGTTTATAAATGTATTTGCTTGCAGAGCTGGAATTGAGCCAATTTATTTGCAGAACCAAGTTTATGTGATGGCTTCTTGGTGACCATTAACTCGCCAGGCTTGATAACCCGGTTTAACCGCTGGCAGCCTCTTCATTGCAAACCCTAGGGTCTTAACGATGCCAGCTCAGTAGTTCTCTGACCCCTTGAACCACCCGGCCTCCTTGAACTTTCAATAAACGTGCTTGTGCTCTGACAGCAAGGTGGCACTGTATAGTTGGGAGCATTGGTAAAAAAAGTGGTCTGAAAGGAATGCACTCATCCTTCAAGTCCAGTTCATGTTTAAAAGCAAACTGTATGTGTGTTCACAAACTAAAAGAGTGCCAAGACCTTCTTGGCAAGAGGAGATATTTTAATGCAACCCTGTAAAGCCAATAGAAAGCAAAACAAAATTTTTATTTCTGAACTACAAACAGGGCGTTTGTGTAACCATATCAAACAAAACTCGGTGACCTTACCCTGTGTAAAGGTCACGGAAAATAAACTTTCAGCAAGCGAGAGTTACAAAGTCAGGCCTGCTGAGAACGGGAGCTGGATGCAGCAGGGAAAAACATGTTGAAGGATCCAGGAACCTCCAACCCAAACCTACATTTTGCAGAAACAAAGTTCTAATGCAGTACTACCATTCCAGTACCCCTTATTCAGCAATTAGGATATTTTTTTATCAGCTTTCCATTTTGTCGCCTAAATTGACCCACCAAGCTTCTAGAACCGACAAGGCCGCGGGACACGTGACAACAGGCTTATTTGATGTGCTCTGTAAGCGCAGCATCGTTGTAGCTTCCTGGCGGTTGTTCCTGTACTTGGCAGCCCATGCCGTCTGTTGGAGCCGTGCATGTGCCGGTGGGCTCTGGTCCCGGGCTGGCGGGACACGGCGGCGCAGCCACAGGTAGCGGCAGTGGTGGCGGCTCCCTACTGGTGGACATTTTTGCAGATGCCGCGGGCTCCCAGGCCGGGGCAGTGCCTGACATCGAGGAGAACTTCCTCAGGTGAGCTGTGTGACTCGCTTGGGACGATTCTCAGCTGCCAAGGCAACGTGTGGATTTTCTGGGCAGGGCTTGGCCGCTTTGAAAAAGTGTGGGGTCTTATGTTTGTGTTCACGTTTTCACATTGGCTATGTGTCGTGGGCCATCGGTAGGTTGTCATTCATTGCAAGATAGTTTTGAACGTGTTGGCAAACGTTGCACGTTCCTGTGATAACGATTGTATTAGTTGCAGCATTGGCGGAATGCGTAGTGTTGTCGTTATTGCAATTTGACACAGATATGTTTTTGTAAGAGATCTGCTTCCAAGCAAATTGTAGTGTTATGTTTAAATTTAAGTATCTAATTAATTTTAACACAGTGGTCCATTTGTCATACATTACTTCTAAAAAAATTGCATTTGCTGATTTATTTTGTTACGAAGTCAGTCGTTTTGACATTTTTATTATGGACCGCCCACGTACAGTTTAACCAACATTGTATGAGATATAATGCACCGTCATTCATGAGCACCTGTCTGTACTGGTCCACTGACAGTACTAAAACATTTAGTGATCCATGTAGTTGCTATTATTTCGTTGAGGTCAATTTGGCGCTCAAGTGAAATGAGTGTTCTTTCTTACGGTGCAAAAATCTGGTGCAGGAGGAAAAAATGCTTCAACGTGTTTTATGACATCAACAAGGAAAGCAATGTGTTACACAATATAGAAACACATAGGCATACTGTGTACATTTAATTACACGTGTATTGAAACCTCTCCTCCCACAAAGGGGAGGATAAGCCTCATACCATACATGCTCACCTTTAATGTGAAACGCATCATCAGCCTTTGCAAGAGGAGAAGGGCGCACTGTGCAGTCATCATGACCGAATTTCTGCTCTTCAGAGCCCCAACTGAAACAAATAAACAAATCTAATATAATTGGAATGATTCATCGCCACCTCTTCGTATGAAGAGACTAAGCAAATGCATTTATTTCATTGTGATTTTTCATCGCGACCCTTCCACGCTCTTTTTTTTCAGGTTTGTCTGCAAGAACAATGGTGTCCTGTATGAAAATAGCTTTCTTCAGATTGGCGTGAAGTCTGAGTACCACCAGAACGTCGGTGTGTTTGTGCACGTCCATTTCTCGCCCAGTTTCAGCCACTCGCATTGCATCCCACCCTCCGTCAACGACTTAATGACGATGGTGCACTGTGCACTCTGTGTGAATGAACCGTGCAGGCCAGGTGTGTCTGTTTTATGGAAACAAGACCTCCAGCCAGTTCCAGAACTTCACTCCCACCATCGCATACCCAGGAGACCTGCAAGCAAATATCCTTTTTCAATCAATGAATTTGCTAGCATGCACATATATATACCCATTTCTAATATTTGCATGGTTAAATATTACCTGTTGCTGTAATTAATTGATTGATCTGCTTGCATGTATAAAACCAGGTACAATTCAACCACTTGAATATTTCTCAGACACTTAGGCAGTGTGGGTTTTCTGAACACGGGTTAGCTGCTTTGGAATGTGTCAGGTTTATTTATGCCCACATTCCTCATTGTATGCATCTTGGTCTATTGGTAGGTGAGCATCATTGCAAGATAATTGAAAGCGTGTTTGAACATTATGCCACATCATCCCGACCTATACTTAAATCTCTCCACCAGCTCCTAAATTAGAGTCCCGGATTAACTGCGAGAATGTCATCACTAACATCCTCTACGGACTCACCCATGCCTACTGATCGCCTCTCATCTCACTAAAATAAACAAAAATGTAACTTTTTATTTTACCAGGTAATGCCCGTGGAGCTATACAGCTCTTTCAGAAGTGACCTGGCCACAAATGATAGCTTTACAAAGTGGCGGCTTATCGCGTGCCAATCTATAGCAGTCAAATACTCTGAACGCATGTCTCTAAATGTGGAGGCAAAAACGGGAAGGCCTGGAGAAACAACAGGACCATGAGGAGAGACACACACGCAAACTCCAAACATACGGGCCTCAGGGTGAGGATCGAACCCACGACCTCACTGTATGCCAGGCGGGGTAGTTAACATCTTGCCACCACGGCGCCCCACAGCACTGCTGCACTTGCTCTCTCTTCCAGTCTTCTGTCAAAGCCGCAAGTCAACCTTAGCTCTGCGGAGGTCGCTGTGTATCCTCTGTGGCCTCTGTACTTTGGAATTCCTTGATGCCATTTGGCAATCGGTGCTGTTGACTCCCTGCCCCTGATCAAGTCCAGGCTTACCAACTTTCTCTTGCATTCCAACTTTTGCCCCACCTGAATTGTAAACTGGGCTGACTCGTTTCTGTCACCATTTAGTTAATTTTAGGCTGAACCTTGAAACCGCGCATAGGCTTGGCTGCACGAGTTTTTTTTTGTGTAGAATATTCCTCGCAGACAGTGCTATAGTGACTTATAGTTATTTCCAATTCTTTAAAAACCACGTGCACCCAAGTACAATGACAGTAATTGCCATTAATATTTTGACATTTTGAAAAGTAACTGAATGTCCTGATTCAATTGTAATACACATCATGAATGGAATGTCCCTTAACCTGTACCAGCATGCCAAGCTGTGTCATACAAATGCATGACATGCTCCATATATCTGCCTGATATGAAATACATTTGTATATGTTTATACAAAATCTTATCTGCCTAATAAAGTAAAGCAGTGAGCTGAATCCAGGTTAACATCAACACGCTATATATGCTCTTTGGTTCTTTATTTTATTTTTCTACCTACGTGACTTTACCGAAAGAACCAAAGAGTATGGATTCCTGTAGTCACGAAAGCTTCAAATCAAGATCGAAGCTATATATGCATATTAATGAGTATAGAAATAAGTATCTGGGCTATATATTGATATACGGTACTTTGTTGTTTATTGTGTGGTTCCAGAAACCGCAATATGTTAGGGTACATCTTGTGCAACAAAATGGGGAACATTCCTTTCAGAAATTGAGCACATTTTCTTATGTATGGATATCAAAGTCCACTTCATTCACTTGGCAATACACAGTGCAACTTCTCAGGAGGTGGATGTTCCCAGTGTTGGCAGTGGCTACAACAACAGTCACCACGTTGTGGCGGTGACATCACTACGGTACTTGTGCCAGGCTAGGTGCACTTTGATGCCACGGTAAGTGTTAAGACACTGGCACACGCACGTGCGTGCATCACTCCGGCCCTGCTACATCCTTGACTGTGGAGACCTACAGCTGATAATTACCCAGAAGGCCGTGCAGCCCCAGGTGGATGCCGGTGCCCAGGTACAGCAGCTGCTTCGCGTCGAATGCCTCGGCGACTTCACAGAGGCGCCTGGCCTCACTCTGCAGCTGTGGTGAGCGATTCTCATCCCACACGCAACTCCTTCACTAAACGCACCATCAGCTCGGACGAGCCACTGTCTACTTAAACCGGGGGTAAGGGACCTTGTACTTACGGTCCAACAGGACTCTCAAATCTTCTACCTTTGGCGTTCTGCACTTTAACACATACCTTAGTGTTGTCCACTTAGGACGTTAAAAACTATTAGGGCTTGCATTTACCACACATGTACACTCACTTATGGGTTGATGTTGGTTTGAATTTGTGTTATAGATATGCAGCTAAGATGCTGGAAGTGATGGATATATAATTGTTTATGTATTGTTTGCAGACATTTCTAAGTGGTAGGACTCATGTGGATGTTGGCTATTTGAAATTACTGAAATATCATCTGCTTCATAGGTCATAGGATCTCCACACCTGGCCTAAAAACTAAAGCAGGAATTGATTGTCAATTAAGTAACTCCGTTGGTTATAGGAACCTTATGGCGGTACCCCGGGGTTCCATAGTACCCCGGCTCTCGAATAATGTCCGTGATGCAGTCATTTTTAGTCTGTTGATGGTCGGCGATGCGGCAATCGACTCATCTTGACGAGCTGTACACGATGCACTATGTTCAGGGTTTCGGCACAATCGTCCTCGCTGCGTTTCGACATCGCGCAGTAGCCACTGATTTCGGATTGATTGGTACCCCAGTCGCGGAGTTAAGTAACACCCATGGGAAAAATAGTGTCCCAGAAATAAAATATTTAATTGCCTCGGGCATTTTGTATTATTTGGTACCCGGGGGTACCACCACAAGGATCATAGATTAATCTTGTCTTTTGTAGGATGCTTAGATACCCTAGATACACACAAAAATGTACTGATGGTCTTTTTCAGCTTTGGAACTCTTGAAACGTTTGCCGTTTGAGGCCAAACAATCACAATTGCACACGATAGAAATATAAACATTGAAAGTCATTTCATCTTATTGCCTTCATGTAAGAATTGCACTATGTATGTCTTACTCATTCTTATGAGTAATGTTTACACTATTATTGTACGAGTTTTTATGATACTGATTGTAATCACTGTGTAAATGTGGACATCATGCAATAAAGTTTATACTCGGTTGTTTGGTTTTTTACCCCTTCCGTTCAGTGTTTTTTTTGCTCTTGCCTGTAGGCATGGCGGATCCTTGCAGCAAATTAGCCTCAAGTTGCCGATAATGATCAACAAGTTTTTCCAGCCCACGGAGATGAACTCTCAAGACTTCTTCGTTCGGTGGAAGCAGCTCAGCAGGTAGTCTTAAAGAGGCAATGCTCATCACTAAATGGTGCTTACTAATTAACGGCACAGGATATATTGCCCTTGTTTATATTATTCACAGCTTCTTCGCAATGAAAATATTTTTGTTACAGTCATCATTTTCTTTTGATGCAGTCCCCAGCAGGAGGCCCAGAAAATATTTAAAGCAGTGCATTCCATGGACACTGAAGTCTGCAAAGCCAAGGTTTGTGGCTGCAATTACCCATAACCCAGCTCCAGTTGTAAAATGCCACTCGAGCAATAACACTTTTAGCAAATTCCAATTCCCCACATGTTATCACCACTTAACTATGATAAAGAGCATAGTCCAGAATAGATATGTTCTTTCGTGTACGAAACTGCAATAACAGTGGTGTATAAGCACAAATAACAATAACTCACAACATTCAAATGTTCATTAGTAACACTGCCAAAAATAGGAAAAATTACGTGATTGATGTTGTTAGGCAATTGCCCATCTGCTATGAAGCTGTATACTATGAAGACGAGCCATTTCCTGAAAAAATGCCTATTATATATTTGATCCTCCTTAGGACAGCATTATTGACAGATATTTGGTTTTATTGTTGGCTCCTTCCCGAGTTCCTGCAGGATTGGTGGCGAGTTACTGTGTGGTTTTGCTGTGCACTCAGCTGCTGGGCTCTGGAATGGCCCTGCTGGAAGGCGTGGACCCTAACCCCGGCAACTATGTGAGCGCCGGGATCATCCACACCAAAAGCTTACAGATTGGTTGCCTCTTGCGGTTGGAGCCCAACATGCAGTCGGAGGTACTTAACACATTCTGGCAGCTAGTGCCTCAGGGTAGGCTAGAAACACACTGCATAATTGGTTTCGGCAAAATCCCACTGAAAAGTTTTTTGGACTCGGTGTGGCTTTCCTGAGTAAATAGCGCACGTTTGACGCACTACACCTGGGGAGGCTCCTCTAGAGCAGTGCTCCTCTCGAGCAGTCCCGGGTGTGCTGCGTGTTCATTGAGAATTGTAGGAAATGAAAGAACCTAATTTGTTCACAAGCTAGGACAGACGAACTCTCTGTGCCATTCAGTGGCCGATCCAGCCTCTCACCCCCCCTCCGCTACACTCGACCTTCCATGGCCCTGGTTCAGTACGGCACAGCTGTCAGCCCCCCACCCCGGCCTTCTCAACTCCCTCCACCGCACATAAGTAGTTGAGTAAATAATGTGCTAGATTTGAAGCTTTCGTGACTGCAAGGATTCATACTCTTAGGTTTTTTTGGTAAAGTCACGTAGGCTAAAAAATAACAAAAATTAAGAAAAGTAAAATAAAATTCACGTTTGCTGTATAAAGTACTTAATACAGCAAGTGTGCTGTGACGGTTACACCTGAGGACGGAAGCTTGTGTTGCCTCCGAAACGTCGTGATTTTTATTTTACTTTTATAAAAAAAAAAATTCTTTTATTTTTGACCTCCGTGACTTTACCGAAAAAACCTAAGAGTATAAATAATGCGTGGCAAAGATCGAGGAAGCTCGAAACTGTGCTGTGGAATGAAAGAAGTTTAGAAGCACTGCTCTGGAGCATGCAACTGAATGTTGTTCTTGCGTGTGTGTTTTTTCGATAGGTATTGCAATGAGTGTTTCTTGTGAAACACCCAGCTTTGTTATGTCATATATGTTTTCCCCGGTTGTGTTTATTGTGATTAGCACTGTTGGCTACGTATGGTGCAAAAGAAGTTCAACATACATGCTGTGGTGTACGATTACGTTTAGAGGCTATAGGCCCAATCTGCATGGTTTGGTAATTGAGTTAACATCAGTAGCTCTTAACGAATCTGGAACAATTTGGTATCGTGTTTTGCAAGTAACATCTCTTTTCTCTCAATTGTCTCTTAAATGGCATCGATTGCTTGGAAATGCATTTGATAAGTTTCTTACTCAGTCTATTTGCTACGTATTGATTTGTGTATTGTTTTGCCCTTATTCAAAGTTCTGATATGCTTGCACTCTATACGATATTTAGTTTGACACTACATTCTATATGCGTTGTTGTGCAATTGCCTTTTTTGTTGGATTGCCCTGTAATTGGGATCTCACCAGGTTGAAATAAATTACTGATTAAGGCAAATGCGCCACATTTGACACGTTGCTTTGTTCCTCTCGCTCACTCCCCACCCTCGCACAGATGTACCGTCTCACCATCAGGAGCAGCAAGGAGTCCGTGTCGCAAAGGCTTTGTGATTTGCTCGCTCAGCAGCTGTAGGGGTCACCCCTGGCATGAGGGAGAACTCGCTTTTTTGGCAGGTGGAGCTAATTCATCTCAAACTAACACCATCAAGTAGGGGTGTCGACATTAACCATGCAGTTCTATTATCGATCATCACAGGCAGGCATATGAAATATTGTATTTTTTACATTTACATCGAAAAGTCAAAATGTTTTGTTGATATATCGGAGTGTATTGTGGGTGGAGTTGAGGCTCGGCGGTCATTGTGCTTACCCTGGTCCCCTGGCTGTACTGCGTTTTGCGCTGGCAAATACGTGGGACTCTTCTTGTGTGACATTAACAGGTGTTTTGTACACTTTCTTAAGCAGATGTTACCTGCTTTCATTTTTTTTTTGGCTAAGCAGAGCTGTTCGCACAAGCGTGGTCAGTCGTGACTATGAACGCTGATCATCGTTTGCGTGTTATATGTTGGCTAACATGAAAATCGGTCTGCTTATCCAGTTGGAGTTCATAGCTCGTCCATGGATGCCTCTTCTTGTGCTAGCCAGGATGTCATTTATACTGGCTGTAAGGGCACATGTATGTCGAGTTCTTACAGCTTTGTAAAGCTTACCAGCACCATTCCATTTTGTCTGCTTCAATGGCATTAAGAACTGGCCATTGTTGCCAATATATGCCAAGTCCCATTCCATTCTGTAAATTAGCAGTACAGTATTTTTAATTGACATTTTTTTAACCAAATGTAATTGCCAATGCTTAATACAAAGCCTTTTTAGCTGTAGTTTTGACATTTATATATGGATGTGCTTGATGGAAGAAATGAAAACACTATAGTGTAATTGTTTAACTTTTACAATTGAAGATACCATTTGAAATGACAGATTTTAATTTTAACTACATAAGTTAGATGAACAAAAAAAATGCACATTTTAAGGAAACGTGGCCATTGCCGATGAGCAAATTTCACATTTACAAAAAAATCTGTTGAAAGATGCATGAAATGCAAATACTAAATTCATCAAGTAACAAAATCGCAAGTGGTCCATCTCATAATGCAGAGGAGCCAGAAAGATCCACGTGATCACTTGTTAGGCACTTTGCTCGGGTCTGTCGCCTTAAAGTGCCATAAGTGTTCTAAATTGTATATGTCTAACGTGATTAAAAATATTTATCATATTAACTCATAATCCCATTAGTTTTAAACTTGATCTTATTGTATGACTATATAGGTAGTTGATATATTTTTGGTTGGACTCTTTATTTTTCTTTCCAAACCTGCATTTATAAAGTGACTTCCTTTTACATGACAGATTTTAAGTGGATTAATCAAAGCATATACACACGAGAAAAAAAATACGCGTTTTACTTTACACGCAACTTTACAGACACTTCACCTGAGAAGTGAGTTCTCTAAGGTTCTTCAACCAAGACTTAGACATTGCGGAATAATGAAGTTTGAGTTGCAGTACGAGGAGAGTCATTAAACAGTGGCGGAAAGATATTTAAATTTTTCATGTTCAATGGTATTTTACATACTCTTTGGTTCTTTCCATAAAGTCACGTAGTTGGAAATAAATAAAAAAATTACGTTTCGGTTGCAACACAAGCAATCGTCATCAGGTGGGAAAACCACAGCAAGAGTTGCCGTGGCAAGAGGTGAAATAGGTAAGCAAGGGGGGAGAGAGAGGGGGGGTAGGGGAGCGCTGCGTGAGCGCTGGTTTTCCCACCTGATGATGATTGCTTGTGTTGCGATCGAAACGTCGTGATTTATTTTATTTTGAACTACGTGACTTTACCGAAAGAACCAAAGAGTATGGATTCCTGCAGTCACGAAAGCTTCAAATCAAGATTGGTATTTTATCATTTCAATGTATCATCTTGACATGATTATCACTGTAGGATATTTGATCAATTGCCTGAAACAAGCATCACTGAGCAACACCAGCTGTCACCGACATGAATTAGTGCAGTACTTGGCAACCGGTGTGCTGCGACCAAGTCCCAATTGTGTCGCGGGCATTTCATAATTATAGGAACAAAACTCAAGCCTCCCCTCCATTGGTCACGTATTGGTCACGTATGCACAGTACGGTCGCAGTACAGCCGTCAGCCCCCAACGCTGGACCCCTAAACTCCCTCGGTTGCCCAGTTGGGTAAACAGACACAAAGACACTCAAACACGGGAAACAACGCAGAGAAACGAGATGTGAAATCCAGACGTGATACGCTCAAAAATACGGAGACTCATACATGAATACTCCGTTTGGTGAATTGTCACGGACTTTGGCAGCGTCACTTGATTTCCCTTTTCTCGATTAGATAATCAAGGGATCGGGAATTCTCTCACTGACAACGCATTCCCACCCACCCACCCGGGTTCACAGTGATATTTTAGCTTGGCGCGCCACATAGATCGAACAAGCAGAGGTGTGCCATGGAATGTACAGGGTTGAGAAGCACTGAATTAGCGGCATACTGCTGGGAAATCCTGGCACACATTGCGATACCATTGTGCAGGCTATCGCTTTGCAATTCAAGGTACATGTTTGGTAAATTATTGCACGTGGATTTATATAGCAACCTGAATGGATTTTTTTCAGTGCCTCTGCTGAATTTGGGGTGCAGTGGTTCACAATCTGGTGCACGGATATCGGAATGGCGGGTGTTTGGCAACTGAAAGCTCGACTGCCGTTGAAGACTTGGCAAACATCACTGCACGACCCTTAATCAAATTATCACTTTATTTGCCCACGTAAAATATTGCAACACTCCATGAAAATGTCACATTTGCATACATACATTTAGTGCAATGTGCACTACCGTCAAGTTTTGTAGTTTTTTTCATGCATTTCCTAAAAGTGAAGCACTACGTTGTGACTGAGTTGGTGGCAAATTGTGCCATGTTACCAAGTCTGTATTGAATGTGAAGATTGAGGTTTTCACAATGACCATAGTAAAAATTACAAGATCACATCAAGTGTTGTCTTTTTGAAAACCTATCAATGTCCTTGCTGCAAACTTCCTAAGTTGCCTTGTAAATGTCATCAATTTTCTCTTGATCAACCACTGAATCTTCATTCAATCTAGTGCTGGATGAGGAGGGCCTTTTGATGCCAATTGGATGTTATTTGACCATACAGTACTTCACTATGCTGGTCATTGTCTTGGCGATTGGGAGCGTGTACAGTACATCGACACTGGCAAAAAAGTCTCGTGTCGCTGCTCACCCCGAGCTATAAATACTCGAGTTGCATTGTCTTTACTGCCCGGCTTTTGGCGTTCTCTGGTCTCATCCTGGTGAGACTAGACCAGGGGTCGGCAACCAAAATAACAAGAGCCATTTCTTTCCAATTCGGTACAAAATTCAGTATTTCAAGAGCCGCAATGCATCTGAGTACATACGTACTCATCGTCAAGAAGCAGCCCGTACAGAGCCGCATGCGGCTCCGGAGCCGTAGGTTGCCGACCCCTGGACTAGACCCTAAAGAAGGCCATCTCTGGTGTGGTGGTCAATCAGTTTAAAATAATGCCATATTATCAGAGCTTATTTGCATGTTCACCACAAGTGATGTGGTTAATCCAGACATGATTCATTGCAAAATTTTTAAATTCGTGTTTGAGCATCTTAACACCCATTTTATTGCCAGAAAGAGTGAAACCAATTTTTTTATAATTATTTGCACTGCCCTCTTCTGGCAGCCTGAATAAACCTTTGTGCCTAGTACCCATCCAAATATTTTTGAGATTCAACAAGGGAGGTACACCAAGTGACTATCATAGGCAATCCATCTTTGAACATGCACTGCATGTAATAGGAATATTCCCTTTCCAGTTAACTCTTAAGATAGTTAACTTTTCAACTGGATACCCATGCATCATGTGCCTGTCAACCCATTTCATAGAAGCTTTAATTTGTAGTGCAAAATACTTTGTGGATAACCTTGCAAAATTATGCATTCCAGCATTAGCACATGACAAACTGGAACTTAAATTATAGCGCTTTAATTGCATTATTTTGGAAGTGCTGTGGTACTTATCCTCAAGGTAACATTCTAGCATTTATTGCATTTGGTTTATGCAGTATTTCTCCTAAAGCTGGTTGTAGCAATGCTTGTGTAGCAATTTGTATTTCTGTTATTGCTCCAGTATCGGTTTTCCAGATAAGAGGACACGAGTCATTTGCGAGTGACACAGGGGGGCAAGGATTACCATGTAAAACCCAAATTGGGTAAGAACACATTTTAGGGGCATTTTTTTTTTCAGAGCAATGCTTGGACGTGCCAATAACTGACATTTTGGATATTAAGTGTCACTTTTATATCAGAATCACTTTTGTAAAAATATAATTGTAACTGGCAGTATAAGAGCCTTATCCTTTGAAATTGAACATCTTTTTGTAAACATTCCCCATACAAAGCTGCGAGAAGCAGCCTTTTGGACCCACTTACTGCAGTGGTATTCATGAGCACAACCCATGTTGTAAACAATGTGAAATATATCTGGATGTGGAAACAGTGCCTCCAGTCTTTACTCCATTAGTTGAAACCCATGTATAAGGCTCTAAAGGTCATGCTGCCTGTAAACCTTAATATTAACATACAATAAAAACTCCAAACATTGTTCATTTTCAATTTTTATTGAATGGTCAAACATACAAGAAATAATAAAACTTAAGTTGAACAGTGTGTAACGGGGACTGTGGCTTATGGCAAATGTACCCATACATTTGTGCCTACACTAACACAATTGTCAAACTAAGACTGCCATCTAAAGAGCGCAACTTGATTTTAAATTGTTAATTAATTATATACACAAGACTTAAAATAAACGTTGCACTAAATTTCAGCAATGTCTGCCAATTCATAGTAACAATGCAAACTTTTCAGCTACATTACTTGGACAGTAACATTAAGTATTGAACTAAATATAGAAAAAATAAGTTCAACTGCACACGTGTGCACACTTCAGACAGCCTTGCTTTGCAAACAGTCACATGTGAGCAAAGGTTGGAACAATTTCATTTACCAGACTGCAGCAACATAGCTTTGGGATATTTCCTGTGGATAGGGGAAAAAAGTCCAACTAACTTTATACTACTATGCCGCCAACATTGTGGTGAAATGAATGAACGTGTCACTTCCTTACAATCTGTATAAAAATTAACACCAACACACCACTTCCATCTTCTCAACTTCCAGTGCCTTGCAGAAAGAACTTACTTTCTGTCTGGAGAGTGAGAGCGGCTGTTAAAAAGAAACGGCAACAAATTAATTTCCACACACAAATAGAAAACTTACTTATGAGGGAGAGGGGGCCACAGGGGAAAAATTGTTTTTAAATCCTTTATATTAAGTTCGCTTGCTTGCTTACGACCGTGCAAATCTTTCGGTCGTTTTTTAACCCACTTCCCGTGATCCAATCGAGCTGACATTTTGCACACAGACTCGTTGTGCGAGACAATTAATGTTCGTGAAAAGTGTTTTCCAAAATTTGACACTGTTTAGGGAAAACAAATTAAATATTTAATTACCAATTGCTTAATACTGGCACACAATCATCTGACCCATAGGTGGCAGCCATCTCAAGCCAGAGGACGAGAGGACTCTAGCTGCCACGCATATAAAGGATTTATAGTGAAAAACTTTGTTTTTACTGCTTATACACTTCATCTTGGTTCTTTCGGTAAAGTCACGTAGAAGGGAAGTAATAAAATAATAAAAATAAAACAATAAAATAATTCTCACGACGTTTCGGCTACAACGCAAGCAGCCGTCTTCAGGTGAAGAAAGACAATACCAAGCTGTTTGGTCTGAAACCTCTCGTTGAAACCTTCTGCAGCCAGGCCACCAAGATTATACGGCTTGCCAAAGATACATAAAGAAGATACACACCTCTTCGTCCCATTGTCTCTACTATCAACTCCCCCACCTATAAATTGGCTCGTTTTTTGTCTGAAATCCTACGGCCTTTCACTGGAAAAACCACCTCTGCGGTACTAAACTCTACTGACCTGGTATCGACAATCAAGGGGATTGCCCTGTCCCCAGACGACCTGCTTGTCAGTTTTGATGTGGTTTCCTTATTCACCAAGGTTCCTGTACCTGACACCATCGCAATCATTGAAGACTTGGTTCATCATGGACTGAATGCTGGGGTACCCCCCCTGGTGAGACACTGCTTAACCAATACATACTTCACCTGGAATGAAACTTTCTACAAGCAAACTGAGGGCACCCCAATGGGCTCCCCCCTATCTCCGGTTGTAGCCAACATCTTCATGGAGAAATTTGAGACGGACGCCATCCAGACTGCCACTCTACGCCCGACCTTATGGAAGAGGTACGTAGACGACACTTTTGTCATCTGGCCACATGGCCGTGCTGCTCTAGACCAATTTCTCGACCACATCAACTCCATACACCCAGCCATCAGATTCACCATGGAAGTCGAAAAAGATGGCAAGCTACCCTTTTTGGATGTCCTAATCAAAAGGAGACCTGATGGTTCAATGAGCCACTCTGTCTACAGGAAAGCCACCCATACCGATGCTTATCTAAAACCGGATTCCCACCACCATCCATCACAGAAGAATTCCCTCATCAAGACTCTATATCATAGAGCCCAATGCATCTCCGACCATGAACACTATGCCAGTGAACTCAAACACGTACGCCAAGCTCTTAAGGCTAATGGTTACTCCGACTACACAATCCGCAAAGCCATCACTCCAACCATCAAGAAGGATCCTGTTGAGGAGCCTTTCAAGACCATCACCTTACCCTACATTGCTGGGGTCACAAAAAAGATCTCCAAAATCCTGATTAAACACAAGATCCAGGTCCGATTCAACACAGTACATAAAATCCGTGATCTGGTACCGTCTGTAAAAGATGTGGTTCCAGACATACAGTACCCTGGCGTCTACAAACTGAGTTGCCTCTGTGGTAGCAGTTACATTGGGGAAACCAAACGACATGTCTCGGACCGCATCCGTGAACATAAGGCAGACCTGAAACACGGTAGGACAAACACCTCAGCCGTGGCAGATCACTGTTACAATTCAGTGGGCTCACATGACATTGACTTCTCCAAGACAGAGGTTCTCTGCAAGCCATCTGGCTATCATGAGAGATTCGTTCATGAGGCGATCCACATATACAAACAGAGACAATTTTAACCGAGAAGATGGATTCTGGCTTAGCAATCATTGGAAGGACGTAATAAACCATTTCGATACACATTAGGGTGTGTAGAATAATACATAGTGTTATATTAAAATGTATAATGTATAGGTTGGTTTACAGCAATACAGTATATAATTTTAATGTTGGGTTTATCTATGGCAGTATATAGTACGGTATATGCTCGTGTGATGTAAGAGAATAAAGTTTAGATGAAGCATATTATAGAATTTTTACGACGTAGAATTGTAATGTATTACTTGCTGTTAGTAACTCAGCTTATTGTAGAGTATAGTAAGTATACTGATGGTGCTATGCAGTTTATACTTTAGTTTTTTATGTAGTTTATATTTTAGTTTTCTACGTGGTTGTTGAGTAACTGCAGCTACATATCATTAACATTCCTTTCCTTTGTTACTAATCCCTGCACCCCCCTTGGTGCTGCTGATCCTGCATAATGCATGGGCATAATATGACTTTGAAACCCCCCCGCCCACCTCCTACGCATTTTCCATGAATATGCTAAATTCCTCTTCATATGCACATTCTTTTTGTTAAGGCGCTCTTCCACCTCCAACGCAGCTTATATATAAGCTCCTAGCTTGGTATTGTCTCATTCTTCACCTGAAGACGGCTGCTTGCGTTGTAGCCGAAACGTCGTGAGAATTATTTTATTTTATTATGTTTTATTTTTATTATTTTATTACTTCCCTTCTACGTGACTTTACCGAAAGAACCAAGATGATGAATCCCTGCAGTCACGAAAGCTTTAAATGCTTATACACTTATTTAAAGTACAGACAGTGCACAATCGCATTGTAAGGTGCAACCAAAGCGACTCTTCTCGGTACCTGCGAGAGCGAGAGAAGGAAGGAGAGCGGTTCTTTATGGGGCGATCATTGGAGAATGATCTGCGGCGAGCCTCTCTTGGGATCGACCTGAAAAACATTCGGGGCAAGGTCGACGACACATTAGTGTGCGCACACAAGCATCAAGGCAAGAGGAAAGGCTCATTTTTCTCTTCTTAAAAAGCACTGCTACTCGGCAATTTTTTTCAAAGCTATGGAAATTCAGCAGGAAGTTTATCAGCATGAATGACATTTCATTTACACTATGAGATCTCTTGAATAAAGGTGTCAATTTTGTACCAGTTAAAAGGGTAAAAACCTACTATGACATTTCATTTAATCAACTTTCTTACCAAACCCACAAGCACTTACCTGCTGCGGCTACGGCTGAAGCTCTTCTTACGGGGAGATCGGGACCGCGATCTGGAAGCCATACATTTCAACAATTAATGCAGTAACTTTACTCACTTGGCATTGCATTTTTAAAATTATCTCCAGCCTACTCTTAAAACAAACACCGATTATTCCCTTCACCAGGCACTGCTACCATGCTACAGTTCACCTAAAGGTGACCATAATGCAATGTCAAGATCATATGCATTTACCTTTATAAATGTGGTACTTTAACCAGTGATGCTTCGAGCTTTACACACAGAACTGGTTTACAAATGTAATAATATTGTTTACCCCCTCAAGCTATACATGTGCTAAATGTACATGTTAACCAACTTACATACACCGATAATTGATCGCATGAAATACTTAAGTTTTAAGTCTTAACATCAAGTTGTCAAAATCTAATTGTACAAAATTGTTGAGAAATACAAAGCTTACTTTACTGCAACTACAAAACAAATCGATATTTTGGGTCGAAAACCACAAAATTATAAAAAAATATATATACATCACCCCATAGTTAAAATAGTAATACCAGCACAAGCTAGAAAAATGCCCGCGATGCCGGGAACCTGACAATTGGTGGTTGCGCTGCGTGGCAAGAGGTGTCGCGATGCGAAGGAGGGTGGGGAGAAGATGCGGCGAGGGTTGTGCTGGATTTATTCTGTAGTCTGCAAACGGTTGGCTATGCCGCAGATTTTCTCTTTTTCCCGATTGCGTAGTGCAGGGCGGAGGGGCGGGGGAGTTGCGAGGGCCGATTTGGGCCGCAGCGCCGCGGGGCTGGCGGTGGGCAGGTAGTAGGGTAGAGGAGGAGTAGACTGATGGCGGCTCTTTAATTGCACGTAGGCTGGAGGACACAGCCAGGCATGCTGAGCCCGCCGCGAGGCTTGCCACGCTCGTGCGTTACGAGACTAGAGACACCCCGTGTGGCGAGCCCACCACGCCGCGCAGAAAGGCAACGGGGATGGACTGGCTAATGTAGACTCAGAGGGTGATGAGTAGAGGCGTGATGGTGACTCTGTAAGGGGGGTGTCAGTTTTGGCAATTAATACAGAAAACATCAACATTGGATACAAATTTTACACAAAAAACGTTTAAAGGCACACATTAAGATCGCATTCATTTACTGCACCTAAGATCACTGAACGCTCCAACCAAAAAATGGAAACAAATTATAAAACGGTGAACAGTTAAT